TTTTTTTTCTCTCAAACATGCACTCGCGCTGGCTAAGCTAACTGGCTGTACGTAATGGGTATAAAAAGTCTAATGAATATTATTTCTATTAGTGATAGTAGTTCTAGTGTAACGAGGCCTCTTTGGCCTAGGCGTTAGAATTACCTAGCGGGTGAATAGGTTCGAAGGGTTTACCTTAAAGGATAAGAAGTATAGGAAGTTAAGAGATAAGTTACGTGAAGGATCGGGTGTAGGCGTGTTACTATTAACCTAAGAGTATAGATTAATACTTTAAGTTAACCACGAAGGTCCTATCTACTGTTAAGGAGTATAGTCTATATATATGTTATAGTTTAGATTAAAAGAGATGCTGGATTAATCCGAAGGTTAGATTAATCTAAGAGACTTAATCTAGTATAAGTCTATTATGTAACTCTTATGCTACTTTTCTAATAACTAGTTTTCTGCAACTTGATAGCTAACTTCCCTTCGTTAGAGCGGACGGGATATCGTTGTTGCTCGGAGCCGCTGTGCTGTAGTACTATCCTTTAGGATCGTTGTTTCCCTACGGTTTCTTATCTTATTATCTTTCCTAACTAGCCTAGCCCCGGTGGGGTAGATTCCCGTATAGGCTTCCTAGGTCTGTGGTCGTAGTTCTCCTAGGGTCCTACTTAGCGCGTGCTTGCTGGTGCCTTACGGTCTTCGGGACCGTATAGTTACTAAGCCCTTACGAACTCTAAGCCCGTATATGCCTTCCTCCTATAAGGTCTTCCTAGCCCTACGGGTTAACTTCCTCTATAGTCTATAATACTTAGTAACTATAAAAGCTTATATTCTATCCCGTAAAGTACCTATAAATACGTACTAAGAAAAGCCCGCGTAGGAACTTACCTTATAAGGGCCTAACTAGCTAGGAAGGCGGTAAGATAGATAGAAGCCTATAGGAAATTAAAGACTATAAGAGTAAGATAAGACCGCCTTAAAAAAGTTAACTAGCTTAGAGTAAAGAGCTTATTATACCCGCTCTACGAGATAGAAGATAGTTATTAGATTATAGAAAGATAGCTATTAGAAAAGTAGTATAGAAGGTATATAACGAACCTATACTAGATTAAGTCTCTTAGATTAATCTAATATCTCCTTTAATCTAAATTATAAATATATATATAGACTATACTCCTTAGTAGTAATATAGAACCTTCGTAGTTAACTTAAAGTATTAATCTCTACTATAGGTTAATAGTAATACGCCTCCCCCGATATTTACGTAACTTATCTCTTAACTTTCTATACTTCTTATCCTTTAAGGTAAACCCTTCGAACCTATTCACCCGCTAGGCAATTCCAACGCCTAGGCTGAAGAGGCCTCGTTACAATGGACTTTAATTTGCATGCGTCTATCACAGCCAACTCCGCTACGGCGTATGCGTTATCGACGTTACCGGTGTAAAAGCTAGCAGCTTCGAGCACATTCAGGCTTCAGCCATTGCTGATCATCTTAACCAAACCAATTCTTTATGATAGGCGTAACATCCTACTGATTTGATTGACTAAGGATTAACTCTAGCCCTCTGAGTGTGCGGACAGCGAGAAGTAATGCGACATGATCGGTGGCGCTCCAGGGGTTGGTCGGCTGGTTGCTGATAGGTTATCTGGAAGAAACTCGAATCGAAGCTTGCACTGAAAATTTGATCACAAGTATGGTACGAAGGTGGTGTCATGGCTCTACCAAGCCTTTCCCCTGTCTAGCTTAGAGGATATGATTATCCGCCTTAATGTTGCTTCTTGTGGTAGGGCGAGTCTTCAGCGCCCGCCCAAGCCTCACGAGGCTCTAGATTGGTTGTCATTTTTGTTGTCAATGGTCCGTATCTTTTATGAACCTATACAAGGCGCCCTTAATTACGACTATGCCGTATGTATGCGTTGCTGCAGGGCAGTGTTGTATTGCATTAACCGTGTGCAGTTCTGACAGAATTACTGCATGCAGAATTCGCTACCTCAATCTTTCTAAGTGCACGAGGGGCCATGTGACGGAGATCGAGATTGTCTGTAGCCAATAAGTGTTACATGCTCCGATGAAGAATAATGCCAAGGACGAGCGCGTTGGGCAGTGTTGCTTATTTCGCCCGAAAAGAAGACTCGTGCCCTGACCGAGGGCCCGTTTGCTGATCCTCTTCAGTTTCGCTGGAGTGCGGAAAACGACACATGATTGAAATGGCGCAACAGTGAAGATCTTTGGCAATTTATATCGCATGCTTGGCGTTAGCAGAGGCAAAGGGGGTCATTGACCCAGTTCACCTGCCGCTGTGAGAAGCTCCTGAAGGTGAGAAGTCGGTCTGCGGCGCTGCTTGCAACATGATCTACATCTCGCCAGTTGTACCTGGGCATACGCTGCCTCTGCACCGGTAAGTCATTGTGTTGCCGCCACGTCCAGATCTTGTCCGTCAGAATCCAGAAAACTGAGTGCTTGGAAAGGTGAATTGAGGTTTCATGTGCCGGCTTAGAGATTGATGTGGAAAACAAACCCTGTAGTTCTGAAGTGGGAGGCCTTAAAACTAAGCGCCAATTACTCAACCGGAGTCGTGGCCGAATCCCCACCCAACCCACTTTAGACCCAAGTGAGAAGTGTTTGCGACTCTCCGAAATCCGTTTCGTACGATCGAATGGTATTTAAGAATTACCAATATGACTGCGTGGATCCATCCGGGTATTGGCTGGCCTCCTATACGTCATCAGAAGGCGGGAATAAAACATTCGGTTGTTGCAAATCATCATCCACGCATCAATCGAAATTGTGCCAGAATTTTCATCACTCAGCTTTAGTTGTAGGTATAGGAGACGACGCCGTGCTAACACCTGGGGCCTGGTCTGAGAGTGTCGGACCCTCTGTATTGCTTGGCATACAGTTTACTGACCAAGGAAACGGAATGAGAATTGAAACAGCCAACGACCAAGAATCACCGGAACCCAAAAGGGACACCAACTGGAGTCGAGCAGTAGCCGGCGTGAGAGTAGAGAAAAGTCCTTTTCGGAGCAACGGAGGTTCAACTGAAGATCTTGGTGTTATCGAAAAATCTCAGGATTTGAGGCGTAGAATTCTGAAGGCCAGTGGCATACACACTGACCATCATCCCACGCTTGTTGCGGCCTGTCGGTCCGATAAGTATGAAAGATTGTCGAGAACAGGCTAGATAACTCACGGCCATGGCGGTATTGGTGAGCCTGCCAGGAATGGTTGGTCAAGCAATGCTGGAAAGCATGGTAGATGTATTGAGGTTCAATGGAGAAAGCTATAAGGGCAAGGACCAAAGGTAGGTCACCGGAAAGACCACCATAGCTGCTATAGTTTGGCGGGTTCATAGAAGGATCCGGGTGGTGGTTTTCCGGGAAAAGCATGCGGATCCATTGCTGATGCTGGTGGTGTTGAGGACCTAGCTGCCAATGCTCCCCACCGAGAGTTACTCGTGAGGCAGTGCCGTCTACTTCTCCATGACTGAACATGACTCGGTTCCAATCGTAGTTTTCCCCAGTGGCAACCGGTATTTGTAGTACGTTGTATGGGACGGCCCAGAATTTGCTGTCATCATAGTACACAGAATAGGTACCGTATTCATAAAGGCCCGGAGGGATAGTTGCGGCTGCTATCACGGCAGTTCCGTCATAGTAGAACCATTGAGGAAGTGTGGCCTGGCTTGAGCCAGTGTGTGCAGGAGGAAACCAGATACCTTGGCCCAGCGACCGTGGCACGGATTCGGGCGTCTCTTGGATGCTAATGACTCGAAAGTAGAAGGAGGGTGCCTTGAGCTCAATGAGGGTCAGCGTAAAGGTACTTCGGCTGCCGGGTCCCTTACCATCATCTCAAATGATTCCAGTGACAGAATGATGGCGTAAAGGGGATGCCTTCATAGGTACCGTGGAGGACCTTTTTGGTGGTGGCATGTGCTTCTCGTGTGACCGGTCATAATGGCTCCTGAAGGCATTTAAGCGTCCGGCATGGAGTTTGCGGCTCAAAATCCCACGCTGAAACTATGAACGTTCGTGGCACCAGCAAAACGCATTACGCGAGTTCCACGAGAACACGGACACCTAACGCATAAAGGCCCCCGCTTCAGTCTGTAAGCTCTGGCCAAGCTGTGCAGAAAAAACAAGACAAGTGATGCCGGTTGACGCCAGTATGCATGGTCGGATTCGGCCGGGTGTCATTGACCTTCGAGCGGCTGTGGCTCTTCAAAGCCCGAGATAAGCGCTCTGTTCACCACAAACGTCGAGAGTCGCGAACGGCATTGCGCGGTTTTGCGCAAGAAGTAGAGCAACATCTGGTTGTGTGGCGGCCGTGCTCAGGTTGGGCCTCCAGACCCGGCCTGGATCGATTGTGGAGGTGGGCGTCGTCCGGAGCGCTGCACGATCGAAGACAACATACCCGCAGCCCGTAGTTGCAGGGAAGAATAGCACGCGCATCTTTGTAGCCTCCGCAGGCTTGATCACCTGGATCCTCGGGCGTATTTCCTCCGGTTCGTGCCACGCTATCATGGTCGTGCATGTTGCAAGTCGCATGTGGCTACTGAACAACCAGTCAGAAAAGCTTTCAAATTGCAACAGCGGGACAGAAGGCTCGGAATCTAGAACCAATGGGGTGTAATGACTAACGTACATTTACGCCCCCTTGATTCCATTGCAGGCCTGGTCCACATTGTCCTGGGATATCCCGGAGCTTTGGCCGATGAAAGGCAATTGGGGTATCTGCCGAGGACCCCATAGCTGTGCAGAGCCCAAGGAGGCGCAAGGTAGGTATCGATGGCGAAGGTCGAGAACCAAGTACACCGGAAAGAATGTAGCGTGACGGGGCTAAAAATTGAACGATGCTTCAGCCACACAATGTAATGTTCGTAAATGGGAGTGATCGTCCGAGCCGGTTGTTGGGCCTATGCTTGTGCATCCTTTGCAGCTGCCTCCAGGGTAGACTGGGGTAATTCCTGTGGTCCGTAAGCGGGTCCGAATTTGTACTCTCTCTCAGCCGCAGACTTTCGAGGGTGTAGTCGAAGCGTTGACATAGACCTAAGGCGAGGTTAAGTACTCGCTCAATGGTGTGGGCTCTTTCTGATTAGGACAGCAGCTGATCGGGTCTTGAGAACATGTCGAGCTTATAAACTAGGGGACGTGACACGTAAGCAGCGGTTGAGCCGGTTGCCTTAAGCCGTTGCCTTCTCTTCATCTTGACCGGTCACAACCCGTCCGCGGCCCACATCCTAACGACTTTGCCTTCAAATTAACTCGCGGAAAGTAAGCGAACCAACGCCAGAAGTATGTGGAGCGAAACTTGCTATTAGTATTATTGGCCATGCAAAAGATCGATTCCAGACGCGATTTTTCACCAGATCCTCGGCTCGCCCCGTATGTTTCGACGAATGACGAAAGGCTTTGTGAGAATCGCCTCAATAGAAAAAGGTCTCGCAGCTAACGACCGCGGAACCTAGCTCATACTTGAAGGAGACATCCATAGCAAGCCATGCTAGATGGATCCCGCCGAGCGTACGACTTGTTCCTGACAGCATAACGACGCCGCTCTTCCGAACCGGTGACTGGACTCGATGGCGACACAATGGCAACTAGGGGTTATAAATCGGATTAGCGGCTCCGTGAGTCATCGATACGGTTGTTTTGGAAGCTGAGGTAGGATTGGGTTCGATGCCATGCATGCCTCGGAGGGCTGTTCAACTAGAGGATCGAGTGCTGTGGCCGACACGTCGAAGGGAAGACGGGCATTCCAGTTTGGCGTAAGGTGATACCAGCGAACACGGCGACAATATTTCCACTGCATTTACTCCAGATGCAGGCCTGAACCAAAGGAAGTCCGCAAGCACCCATGTGCCTAAGAAGGGCCTTGCTAGAGTTTGAGGGAAAGCTAAGAACCGGACCGACACAACACGCCACAATCAAGATGATCAGTCTTCGATCGGCCTGCAGCCGGGGAAGGGGAATCCAGGTTGATAGACCATTGAAGGGCTTAGAGGGGATCTATCACCCGCGTCGCACAGCAATCGGGAAACCGCCTTTGGTGCTTTGCTTTGAGCCCATGGTCGGGCGCGCACTGGATATCGAAACCTGAGGCCTAAACCTAAACCTAAACACCAACTCCGTCAGCAATGCAACCATTCGCTTCAAATATGGGTATTTTGCCTCAAATGGTATCGGTTACCTGAGTACTAGGTTTGACCGGAAATGGCCTAAAAGTTGTCGATCTGCTTTATGGGTTCAGATTCGATAGCGTTGCTTCAGAAGCAATTATTGTTACATCCCAGTTGTATCGCAGAGGAATACTCTAGCTCTACTGTGTATCCATGCTGTGCTTTGCCTGCAAGAGGATGTATGCAGGATGCAGGACAAAAAGTAGCTATGTCTTACAGATCTTGATATACTGTCTGAAAGGCATGGATGAGTGCTACGTGCTTCCAAGCTAATGTCGGTGTTCTCAATTTTTCCCGCTTGCACCTTCGCCTACTTCCATAGTCTGACGAGAGCCATTTGGGCTTAATCCTTTGAGAAAAGAGGAAAAAGAAACAAAGAAAATGCGAGATAAAGCAATATAATAGGAAAAAAACAAAAATAAAAATAAATATAAGAAAAAGATTACCGAGAAAGATAGAGAGAAGTGCATCACACATAAGTATCAACGGCAATAGCCTATGCTTGTCGGAAAAGGTGGGTGTGACGCGCGAGCGGATGTATGTCGGAAACCCGATATCAAGTACGGGGATACACGGACATCCGTTGATGTTGTACTCCCGCCCTTCGTCTTTGAAATAATTCCAATAGCCAGAATTTATACCCCCGACTGCCCATTTAAGAATATGAACCTAAGAAATACGCCGGTAGCGGATGGACGCCTGACGGATCCGCCTGATGGATCCGGCGATGGAGCACGGGACTGAGGAGCCGTCCCTCGGTGAAGCATGCCCATAAAATGCCAGGACAACATGTAAGGTATGTTGGACATAGCCATGCAATATACAGACAAGTATTGACAGATAGAGGATCAGTTCAGACGTTGCGACAACTTGGCTAAATTTGGCGTGCTAAGTATCACGTGACGTCGCTAGCCTTAACTTTAATTTCTTGAGCGAGAGACTGACAGCAACACTGACTCTCTATCTATAGAAAACTTACCTTTAGCAAAACAGAACTAAGCGGCGTGATCCAATCTCACGGACTATCTCCCCCGCAATCCTGACCGGTGAGAAAAATAAGGGTCCGGCGGAAGCCGAAGATTGGGCCTTGAAGGAACGTCAACAGCATGAAGAGGCGTACGAGTAAGGCAACAGGCAATATAAGTACGACATGACATGGCATGACGGGCTGCTCCGATATTGGCTCTAGACAAGTCCGTACTCTACTTCACCGGTGTGGAAGGAATAAGCCAAAGGTTAGTTTATTAAGTCAGGCGAGGACAACAGAATTTTCGAATATCTCGCCATCTCTTCGGTCTGCATGACACAGATTTCATCTAAAGAGCCAACTGGCGATGTGGTGGGCCCTAACCACTAGTGGTGGAGGACCACGATCTCATGGTGTGGCCAAGGCAGCCACACGGACCCTTACGGCAAAAATTTGACCGGTGGCCTTCAGTGTGGTGTTGTCGACATGGTCGAATGGATTTTCAGCATTAACTCGCAGTAGGATTGAAGAAATTGACAGCCTGAGCAAATTTATGCACTATATAAATGCGTTATGCTAATTTCTTTTCCATCCAATAGGAACAACCACAACGGTTGTGTAGTGTAATGGCTAGCACTCGAGATTCTGAGTATCCTCTCTAGAACATTCTCGCAATCCCGGTTCGATCCCGGGCACGACCTTTATCTTTGTTTTTGCTCCCTAGACCTAGCAGATACGACCAAACCCGTAATAGAGTTGCTGCTATGCCGGAAGAGCGCAGCATAGAATTTTATTTTGCGAGCAGTAGTTCTCAAAGCCTTAACTATACATAAGCAAAGTAGCACTTTAAACCTTCAGCACCGTCGAATGCATTCAATGAAACAGGAATAACCAGACGCCTGCAACCGCAGACAAAAAAAAAAAATAAAATCTACTTTCCCCTTTTGTAAACATTATCCTCACCTCTCGAAACTTCCATGAAACCCATACTGAATCATCGATACTCTCCACAAACGACTTGGCACCCTAGAAACTTTGGACATCACAGAATGCATTCATTCAATGTACAAAACCCCAAAACCCACACAAGACGACAAACACCTGCAATCGCAGACAAAACAAAAACCGACACTCTCTTTCTACAAACATCTTAACCCCCAGAAACATCAACATAACCCACACACGTCAACCCTCCCTAACAGCAGACCCCCACCCCCAAAACCAACAACGCCCTAAACACACTCCCTAAACACCTTCCATAACCACACCCACCTCAAACAACCCCACAAGCCTCGTCAGCCTCACTCGCCCGCTCTTTCCCCATAAAACGACAAAGCAATGCATGTGTGCTCTGTGAAGACCCGGCACCACCACTCGTGTATATCAGTTTCTCTCTTCCACACGTGAGAGAGACGAGGATGGAGCATAAATATGAGAGTGTTTGGTGGATGTGCCATTGTTGTGGATGCTGGCTGGAGTTGTTTTATTTGTACGCGTGTGGAAGGGTGTTGTGGTATGTGCCGTTATGCCGATGAGGGTGGAAGTGTATCAGCTGTATGACCGTTCAGCCATGGGAGACCCAGACGTGAGCACCAGCAAGTGAGAAACAAGAAAAACACCCTGCCTTCGCACCGGGCTGAACAAAAGCTCAAACCAGTCTCTGCACCAATAGCACAACGCATCACGCAAACAAGCCCAACATTCAAACCCAGGCTTTCTCTTCAGCTCATCGAGACAATAAAATTCAAAGCTAATCCGTCTCAAAACCAAGCCACCGAGTAGTAGTGCCATCCCGACGTCCCAGAACCAGGGACCGAGAAGAAGGGAAAAAAGGACCAGGGACGAGAAGGGGGTAGGTAGTGGCAGCGCAGCAACAGAACGTCTAGACGTCGAGTAGTGCTGTTGAACGTGTTTGTCGTCGGGCAACCATACTCGCTTTTTCGCCTTCCCTCTCTCTCTCCCTTCCTCCCTCGGCCTCATCCGCGCACGCACTCTTTTTCGTCCGGTCCCGCCAACGCCGTGTCGCATTTCCAACGCCATCCGAAGCCGCACTAACGCCCTCTTTGCCCTCCTCCGCAATCGTTGCTAGCCAAGCCAGCCTCCCGCATCAGCAGCATCGCCGACTAGGGCGCAGCTGGCGGCGTCGCTCACTACGTCGCTCTTTTGCTGCAGTTGCTGCAGGCATTGCTCTACTGGGAGCCCAGCGCGATTTTGTCCTCTATTCGACGGTTAGGCATCTGTTTTCAACAAACAAGGACCGCAGAAACCCGCAGGGTCTGGGGACAAGGGTGGGGTTCACGCACTCTGCTGGGTGATGAGCAAGCCGTAGCGCTTCTTCAGCGTGACACGGTGGCGCGAGTACTTGTCGTCGGGGGAGAAGCGAGCCGGATGGGCGGACTTGGTGACCTCGCTGCCGACGACCTTCTTGAGCGTGTAGACGCGCTTGCCCTCGGCGTCGAGCGTGTACATGAGATGCATCCTGCCACACACACCTGTTAGTGCGTTGTGCTCGCCCAATTGCGCTGCAGTAGTGGCCGAGCTTACTTGGCGGTGTTGTGGGGGGCTGTGGACGCGGAGGTTGTAGGAGTAGAGGAGTAGAGCGAGAGCGGGGTTCGTCGTCGTCGTTGTCGTAGGTCGTCGGCGTTGCGTCGAAGCTTGCTCGCCCGTCCAGAAATCTTTCGCGGCCACACGGGCGATCGGCGAATTTTGCTGCCGGGCACCACGCCCGGCCCGCCGCTTGGTGCTCGGACCCTGGTCGCCTCCCGAAGAGGACAGCTTCATCAGCTAGAGTAGTTAGTCGTCATAACTTACTTCTCTCTGACCTCCCCCCGCCCACTACCCACCTACTACGATGCGCTCGCTGCTGAACCTCGTCCTCCTGTTCCTGGGCCTCGCCCTCGGCGCCTCCGCGCAGTTCCAGTTCTTCGAGCAGATGTTCAACCACGGCCCGCAGCAGCACCACCGGCAGCAGCAGCAGCCCCAGAACGTGCCGAGCGACCCTAGCTGGTACCAGCAGCGCTACGACGAGGGTATGTCCTCCTCTGAGCACGCTCAATTGAACGCCTGCCTATGTTTGCTTGGATTAGCTGGCTAACTCGTTGTTTTCTTGCCCTCCGCGCAGCCCACTGCGACAAGTACCTCTGCCCCGGCACCCTCGCCTGCGTCCACTTCCCCCACCATTGCCCCTGCGCCTTCCCCGACGTCGAGGACAAGGTCGAGCTGGGCGATGGCATTGCCGTCTGTGCCAGCAAGGGCGGCTACAAGAAAGACGAGACTATTCGGAAGATTGAGTTGGCCAGGAAGGGTCTCCTGTAAAAACAATGCAAGCATCAACATCATGAGCACGGCGAACGGCGTTGGAACTGTAACTACAATGATTGGTTCATGCTCGGTCGTAACTATGATATCTGTACAATGGATGATATTGTACAATTGTTGCCGGGTATAGAACACAACAAAAACGACCGGAGAAACCCTCCAATCAATCCCTCAAACGCCGCATATGCTCGTGATGACGATGTTTCCGAAGACGCCGCCCTTATCTTACTCAGGTCGTTACTTTCCAACATCCACATAGTGGTATTTGTACTCTTGCGGGTCTGTGACTCCGCATTCTTCTTGGCCCCACTGCCGCAGCAATGCGCGACCCATTGCTTTCTTCTCTTGCTGCAGTTTCTCGTACCGGGCTTTCCATTCGCGCTCCCGCTGCCGCACGAGCACGACAATGCGGTCGTCCATTGCTTGGTTGACGCTTTCGTTGTCGTCCTTGATGATCCTTAATTCCATCCTCAGAGCTTCGGCCTCTGCTTTCGCCATTTTGGCTGCGTTGGCCTGTTCGAGGAGGGCTGCACGGAGCCTTTCCATCTCCTCTCCCTTACCATCAGACCTGGACGAGTCGCTCCTGCGCCTTTGGTTCTGGAGCTGCTGGACTTGCTGTTTGAGCATGTCCACTTCGGTCCTTGCGCCCTTGAGCTGGTTCTTGAGGCTTGCCTTCTCAATCCTTTCGCCATTGACCAGAGTTTGAGACTTGCGCACTGCTTCCATTGCCTTTTCACGCAGGTTATCCAGCTCGTTCTTGTGCTCATCTTCGAGGTCATCCAGATGCATCTCGAGTTGTCTGATCCGCTCCGTAGAAGAAGACCGCTCGTCCTCGAGTTCCTCGCGCGCATTCTCTAACATCCTCGCCATGTCTCGGTTAGCAGCAACCTTTGTCCGTTCCTCTTCCAACTCGTCTCGGAGTTGGTCATTTCGGCGCTTCTTCTCCCCGACAAGGCTCTGGCTCTCTGAGAGCTCGGTACGCAGCACATGTGCGCTTTCCCTAGCATTGTGGACATCGCGCTGTGCATCGCTGGCCTCGTTCCGGGTCTGGTTGAGCTGAGTCTGCAAGACACTCAGGCTGGACTCTAGGTCTGCGACCTGAGTTTTGTAGCGAGCGATTTGTTGTTCAGATTGCTTGTGATCTTCAGAGTGAAAAGCGTAGAGTTTGCCTTTAGTGAGACTCTCGGAACGCATGGACGCAAGTTGAGCCTTGGTGGTGGCAAGCGTGGCTTCGAGTTCCGCAATGCGTGCGTGTGAATCTGCTTGATGCGCTGCCAAGTGTTGCTCCAACTCCTCCTTTGGCGCAGAATCACGGAAATAATCTGTCCTATTGGGGGCGAGGTCGTCTCTTTTGGCTTGCTCGGTGATCTTGTTTTGCAACTCACAGAGTCGCTCTTCCAAAGATGAGACTTTGGCCTCGAAACCCACACGCTGCTGTTCAAGTTCTTGCTTGTGGGTGTTGGTCGAAGCCTCCAGCTCAGCCTCCTTTTGTGAAAGAAGGGCCTGCAGCCCGCTCTCCGTGCCTGAGAGACGTGATTCGAAACTCGACTGTACAAGTGCAAAGGATGCCTTTTGCTCTTGAAGATCGCGCTGGTACTGTGCCTGTGCCATTGCCAGTCGCTGTCCCCAATGAGCCTCGAGCTCCCTTACCCGCTCATTGTGTTGAGCTGTAACCTCACGAACACGACGTTGCTCGTTGTCCCGCGCACCGGCCAGATCTGTCCTTGTTTTTTCAAGATTCTTCTCCAAGCCAATGATCCTAGAAGTAAAATCCAATTTCTGGCGCTCGATTTCACCATTGTGTTGAGTGATCTGCGAGAGTAAATCGCCAGCATGCTGTGCCGAGTTTGTACGCGAAGGCAGTACCGATGATGGTGCTGAGCCCTGCATCATCAGATGCGGTGGCATGAATTGACCTGAGGGAGCCCATGAATTATGGCGCGTTAACATCGGCCTAGAGCTCAGAGAGGCACCCAACAGTGGCCTCGAGTTTCCAGAGAGGTTGAACCTTGAAGCAGTGGAATCGTGTCTCGACATGGAGGGCCTGAAGGCTGCTGAAGAGGCTGCAGAATTGGTGCGCGAGAAGGTTGGCCTGATGTTCGGATGTGGTCGGCGGAAGAAGTCGCTATCTAGTTTGAGCTCTGGCGTGTCTGATCTTGAAGGAGGGTTGACATCAAGTTTGGCACGTGGTGGTGACTCGACGTGGTCCTCGACCGTTGGTTGGAGCCATGGCATCCTCGCTGGCGAGGCAGGTTTCAATTCTCCGTATGTCGGGCGTGGCGGTGACGCAAATATCTGGCGTGGCGGCGAGGGGAATGTTTGGCGAGGTGGTGATGGGACCACGTCTTGCTTTGCTTCGTTACCATCATTCATACTGGACAAAAGCTCGATTTGCTTGTCGATGGAACCTTGTCGTGGAGGCTCCTTGGGACCCTCCTCGTCCTGTTCGTCCGAGATAACATAGCCCTCGAGGTCGTCCATGGCAGCTTGTGCGCCGGCTTCGTCGTCTTCCGATTCGTATGGGTCATTGTTCTCCTCTTCTTGAATGGGCTCCGGCGATTCGGTCCGTTCGCCATTGTACCTAATCTCAGGCTGCGGAAGTGCCGGAGCGGTGCGCGCTGGCGACGGCTGCGATTCCTGGTGCTGCTGCTCGGGTGACTCGGGGTGTCGCGTGGGCCTCTCGGTCTTGGGCGAGACTTGTCCCCTCATCCACAACTCCATGTTCTGGGTGAAGTCGCTCGGGCCGTCAATGTCCTCGCTGCGAACCGTCTCGAGCGGCTCGCCATTGAGAGAGAAGTCGGCATCGTCCTTGGAGGCGCCGGGCAAAGCGGCAAAGTCGAGGCTGTAGGCGGTGTTGTCGCTCTCGGTGTGGCTCTGCTTCCTGTCCGCGCCGGGACGCGTCGGCGGCGAGGGCGGAGAGGCGGAGGCGGGCGTCGGGGTGGCGGACGACATTGTGGGGGCAGCGATTCAGAAAGCGGGATGGGCGTTGGGGGCTGGGAGATCTACGAATGCATCGCCCGAAGATTAGGAATAACGCGGTGGATTGGGCTTGGAAAAGGTTTTGGAAGGGTAGACGGTTGCCGGGCGGTGGCTTTGTTTTGTTTTGGGCCTGAGGTGGCCTCTGTCGGACCGAGCCGCGCCATCTGGCCACCACAGCGTACGTTGCGATGTGTCCATTGTTGGTTCTCGTGGTGGTCTTTCGCAGCGGTCCCATGTCTCTGCACGCGCGTAGATTAGGTTTGTAGATCTGGGGAATGCTGGCCATCGCAGCGCTGATTTCTGCGCACAAGCGCTGACTGTAGTTCTAGATTGCCGCCTGACGTGGGCACGAGTCGCTGATTTGGGCGCGTTGACCGGTCAGCCCTGAACACCGTTTGGACAACGTTCACCACGATTTTATGGGGCGACGCGCTCCCGTTCCAGCGCGCGCGCCCTCCTAGAGCCCCTCCTAGAGCCGCATCCGGGCTAGAGCCTACCCATCCCCAGGCGATCTCGACAATTCCAGCCCGTCGGGTGCGCGGGTGCTCGTCCTGCGAATCCTGGCGGAACAAAAGGAACCCCCATATCAAATACGAAGTCCAATACTCACTACTCTACCGCCACACCTACTACCCCGCCAACCCTCCTCATTTCCAATTCGCCCCGCCGAGTGTCGGTCACGATCCCCTCGCTTGGGCCTCATCGTGTTTGCCTTTGCCCTATCTCCAGTGGGTCCAGCCCTAGTCTATCCAATGACAACCACCCAGCTTCACGCCTTAGGCTTTCGCCTGATCAGCCCAGCACCCAGAACATTAACACCTTCTGCCGAGCCAGCAGCCGACGGTGACTCCTCCGTAGCCTTTGCCTTCTTTCGCACCAAGCCAGCTGGCAAAGTATTCACTGCCTCGGCCGTCTTCGGCGCCGACTCTTCACCTTCAGGCTTCCTCTTCTTCCTCAGCATTGATGCATTGAGCATGTTGACACCCCCGTTTCCGTTTGTCTCAACTGCCGGTGCTGCCTTCCTTCCCGTAATGGCCATGCCCCATCGCTGAGTGCAGCCTAAAACGCTTGCCTCGTCGATCCACTTCTTCGTACTGACAACGGCCATTTCGCGATTGGCGTAGTTTTGGTGAAGCAGCAAGTCAGTGGCACGTTTGTAGTCCTTTTCCTCCAGCACAATCTGGCCACGGCTGGAAGCTGGCCAGGCATAATATCTTGATTCCACCGGTGGTAACTTGTCGGGAGATTTTGAACTCCCTGACTTGATGCGTGGAACTCGCGGAACGATGGGCCCAGTTAACCTCGACCTCCTTCGCGGCCTATTCTTCATTTCACTGGCCTCGTTAAATTTATTCGGAGGTGAAAGCATCTCCGCTATTGACTCCGTCTGGGAGCCCGGGAATTCATCTTCGGCCATGTCGTCTAAATCTGGTGGTGTAAAAATGACCCATATGAAGCCAACTAGTCTTCCAGAGGAACACTCTTGCCTGAAAGACATCATTTCCCAGAATTGCTCCAAGCTCCGTACGCTTCTCCATTGCCCATTGCCCTTGCTCGGGCTTGTCAGTGACTGAGCACCTGTTTCTGGTAACTCATCATCCAACTCGTCCATGTACCGCGATTTTGGGTCGTCTGGAAAGTGAGGTATAAGACACCGTGGAGGTGCGCTAGGATGCTTGGATATTTGCTGCAGAGGATGGCCGTGTCTCCATCGTTTTGACTCTGCTAGGTCTGACCGCACCGTTGCGGGAAAGAAACGTATGGTATCGTTCTTCTCCAGACCGGGTATGACCAGATGACCTTGGGCAGTTGTACGGTCAGATTGTCTGTCCAATAGACTCCCTTGGCCGGTCTCTGACACCTCTGGTGCGTAATCTCTGAGAACCGGGTCCAACACTTTACACCACCATTTGATCAACGCCGTATCGTCCGCAATATGCTTGTCTCCATTCTCGACACTGCCGGGAAAAAGATACTGATCCTGCGCTCTTGCGAAAAGGGACACCACGAGCCGTACTCCAGGCCGCTGCCTGTGCTTGACAAGCCATGAAATGAAGGCCGAGGATATGGCGCGTAAGGGTGAGGTCTGCGTCCGGGGTAGGTTGAGCAGCGAGATGTAGCCGGTAGAATCTGCTTTGGAGACGAAGATGGTAGTCAAGTGGCTCGTGGTGTAAATCAGAACCTCAATTGCGAATGCCAGCACTTCTCCGGTACTCCGTTCGTCGCCCGGCTTTGGCTTGATCGACACATTCAAGAAGTGGGACTCGCAGTACGTCCGCTCCGGCCTTGCGCCAGGCGGCGCGGAGAAGATAGCAGCGCATTTGGTTGGCGGAGACGAAACATGGTAAAATGTGAATTGGGAATCCTTTGGGAGAGCCTGGGAGAGCAGTTCTGGCAGCGAGCCCTCCTTTGTTGTGGTGGAATCAGCCATTGCGGGTAGTTCCAGACCTGTCGAGGCGCGCGGAGGTTCACGCGCGGAGGTTCGCGAGTTCTTCGCCGAAACTTTTGAGCGCCTACACGACAACGCTCACGAGCCTATCACCGCCGCAGGTCCCTCAACACCAGGTCTTGCCGCCGCAATCCATCCTCATGGCGTCCAAGGTTCCAATTAGGCCATTCTTGGGTGCGGCCAAGTCTGTTGCCGGGCGCGGCGTGCGTCTGCAGCTCAGCGCCATCTCCGCCGCATCCACGTCCTCGACGCCATCCAATTCCTTCGCAACTGATGAGGCCCCGAGGAAATCAGACCCGCTGGACCCGGCCGAAATGCCGCGATGGAAGCAAACGCCTAGAGCAATGGCCGCGCCCATACGGTTACGGCCGATCAAGCCGGACAACGTGTGGAGGGTCAACGAGGACCCGCGCAAGCTCGACGAGACCTACGTGCGCATACTGGGAAAGGGTGGCGACAAGCTGCTGGAGGAAGAAGTCAAATGGTTGGCCGTGACGCACAAGAGTTTTGATCACGGTCGGAGAGGATTCAATGACAGGCTGGCTTTCTTGGGTATGAAGCCCAAGTTTTTGGAGTCACGCGACGTGCGGACAAGGCGCTGACAACAGGCCCAGGGAGGCGGATCATTGAGCTTCAGACGTCACTGGCGCTGCTTAACACACCCCGCAGCGGCGCGAAGCAGCACACGGCCGATGCGTACGGGCGTGAGCCCTACAAGCACCCAGCTCTCGATGGCCTGGATAATCTCGCAGGCGGCTCCAAGGAAGAAATCCTGTCGAGGGACAGGCTAGCTGGTCTGGCGAAGCAGCACGGTCTTTCCTATGTCATACGGTGGAGGCCCAAGAAGGTGAGCTTTCAATTCAGGCATTAAAATCCTCGGGGCTAACAAGTTTCGAACAGTCGGACAGCATGAAAGGCTCCGGTTTAAACACTGTTCTTGCGCATACTCTGTACGCTATCGTGGGCGCTATCGCCATGCAAAAAGGAGGCGACGTCGCAAACCAGGTTGTTAAGGAAAGGATATTGGCACCTCTGGACGTCATGATGTCATGAGGAGTTGAGGCGATTGGATACGAGTGCATAGCAAGCCTGGGTCACAGCCTGCCTGTAAGTACTGTAAGAAAGAAACTGAATTATTAAACCATTTCTTAAACTTCACATCTTACTCCACAAAATTTCCTTTAATTCAATCAAAGTACTGGACCACTGGCTCGAAACAAGTTACTTTAGAAAAAAGTAATTTTGAGACCGTTGGGGTTAGCAGCGAGCCTGTAAGACTATAGATTGTTTAGTTTTAACGTCCGTCACTGCGAACCGAGATCCACCGTATAGCGAGACAGTGCGATACAAGCAGTCCCTACAGAGTACTTCTTGCCTAGCTCCCAGCCCGGGTGAAAAGGTCTTAGAGCACACATAGACGCTACGTATCTTAACGGGGTCTCTTCTTCTACTCCATACAAATATCACCATCTCGCAAGACGGCGAATCTCGCTTCGCGGTGGCGGACGTTACTTGAGCCGACGTCAAGTCTTTCGTTACTCCATCCTATCTAGCAATTCAAGCACGGCCATTTTTCACAAACATGAAATGTTCCACGAACAGAAGAGCAAGAAATCTCATTGGCAAACGCTATTAGAAACCCGTTTGATATTTATATTGTCGAGACAGAAGCCCCCTTCTCTTCGTCCAACTCATGCCGTCTTTACATGACAGAACATGGGTTGTTTTGGTAAAAATCCCGCCAAACTTTCTTCTCGTTGACAAGCTCGGTGGGGTTGTAAGATTGGGAAGCCATTGTTGAGTTGATTGGGTGAAGCTGTGAGCTGGTAAGGTTTTGATGAGAGTGAGTGACTGATTGATGGATAAACTGGCGCACATTATGGTCTGTTAATATATTTCCACTAGAACAAAGTAACGTGGGCCCTCTAAGTCATTGCTACAATATAAGGCGCACAAGGATAATTTGGTCGAACCGTCCTTTGTTCTCAACAGCCATACCCGCCACCACGGGAGACCGTCTTCCAATCAATTGCCTGTGTTATTGTAACTCCTTTGAATGGTTACCGCATGGCTGTCCTTTATCCCAAGATCTTTGAGCTGGAACATCCTCCGTTATTATCAAAAGCACAAAAGCGCCCTCCTAAGCACAGACTGTTTCAAGGCACAGATCGAGAGACGGTTTCAAGGCCTAAGCGAATTGATCGTGGCGGATTTGCAACTACAGGAACATCTTCTGATGGGGCTAGAGACATGTGCTTCTTGGTGCTGGCGTCAGATCGGTTTCACAGGGCTACAGAAAACGTCTACCTGGTCGATATGTGGTGATTGGCTATAAACGCTAGAGACAAACGCAACTTCTAGGCCTTGTTTGGTGGTCGTGGCTTTCCGATGTAGTAGGAGTGTTTGAACAAGCTTTCTCTTTCAGCGGTACGACGCCTTCCCCTTGGGTCCAGAACGTCCAACGGCGGCCGTCTGAACCACACTCTAACGCGTCCAGACTCGTGCGAAAAGGAACCTTCCGCACGAGAAAGCATAGAAAAAGTGCCTGACTCGTACAAGGGAGGGCAAACGGTTTACCGCGCAACTGTAACCACCGTCCCGGAGCGCAAGCAAGGGTCCAAGGACCCCTACTTTATCAAACGGGCAGGTCAAAGGGATGCTCTCCTCATCAGAGATTGAAGCGAGGCGAGGAGGAGGCGCTGATTTCCTCTCAGATGAGCTTGAGGACAGCAAGCCCAACGATCTTGACTACTTCGAAGTACGGATGTCTTATGATACGAGCAAGGCCTCATCAACCTGAAGCGCGCCCTGCACGCATCCTAGCCGTCCCCTCAACGGCAAGACGCCATCTCCGCCCGATCTGCGGCGATGTTTCGACGTTTCAAGCGGAGCAGCTGGATTCGCGTGCCCGGAGAGCGTGTCCGACCTGTATTGTATGGTTGAGCTTCCCGCCGTGCCGTCGGCTGCAGGGTTTGGCTGGAGACGCCAAAGTCCCGGTGGGCGATCGCGCACTGCGAAGCTTCGAGAGGAACGGGAGTTGAACCGCGCGCGCAGACAAGCATTCCACTGGCGAGGGGACGCAGGGACGTCCGACGCGCGTCTCCAGAGCGCACCGCCACCGCGTGATAGACGCGCATACGGCAATACAATGCCCTTTGGTTTACTGGTTATAATGACTCGAAGGTTGATATCTAAGTACGTGTGTGCAATTCGACAATCGCATGTCGTGATGGGCCCCCCGCTCCTCCTTGCATGCAAGAGAGAGGCACAGAAGAAAGAAAAAAAAATAGTACCCAGTACATAGTACATAGTAAGTAGTCATTTGGGCGTGACGTGTATGTTATTCTCCTGACGATCGTGCCGTCATGACGGCGAAACGGGGGCACTCGTTGCCATATTGCAGGCGATAAGAGGCGATCAGCGCAGTGCTTCAGGTAGAGACGGTGGGATTACGCGTTTGGGCCGGGTGCAGAGGGCAACCCAGGGGGCAGAAAGAGGGTTTGCGGGCGAAAAGTGTCAAAGTGTCACTGTCAAAGTGTCACCAATCGAGGGGCCCGCCTCCAGTTAGCGCGGGAAGTAGGGGAGGGGGGCCCGGGGGCGGCCTTGAAGCACCTGCAGTCCGCGCGCCACACCCAAAACGACCGGCCGAGGGGGACCGGGGGGAGCATTGCCCGCCATCCAAAACCACTTGGCTTTCCGTCTTGAAGAAAACCGCCCCGGCTCCCTCTGTCGCTCCCCATATCGCTGGTCGCCGAACGCCTTCTCATCCCTACCGAACGACATGCGCTGTTGTCTGTAGCCTTGTCGTCTCTCCCGCCGCCTTCGTTCCACACGCTCTTTTCCTTTGCCAGCCCTCTTACCTGTCGCAACTCTTAGCCGCCGCCGCCAGCATGCTTGTCTCGGCCGTGGGCCCGCGCAAGCTGGCCCTCGTCCTCTTCGTCGGCATCTGCCTGCTCTTTCTCTCTTTCCGCAGCTCATCCTACTACACGACCATAGATGATCGCATTCCCGCTGTCCCAGAAGCTATCCAGGAATCCTATGTCAATGAGCAGGAGAAGTTGGCAGACTTCAGGCCCGCGCCGGCGCAGGACGCTGAATCCGAGGCAGAGGCTGAACCCAAGCCCGAGTACTCCCTCAAGCATGAATCTGTACGTCTTTTTTTCCTCTTTCTCTCTCTCTCTCTCTTTGCGATCGCACCGCTGACAGCCTACTCAGCTTCCCACCTCCACCATCTCTCCCCTCTCATCCACCTTCTCGCCCTCTTCAGACCCCACCGCTTCCGCCACTCCAAGCTCCGCCGAGGATGCGCACTCAGCCACGAGCAAGTGGCATATTTTTGACACGCTGAAGTCGGGCCAACAGTCGCCGATCACGTCAGCTAAGAAGCTTACTCCGCTGACCAACCTCCGACAATATCTCAACAAGATGCTTGTCTGGAGTCGCCCTGAGCCGGATCCGTCGCATTGGCCAGCGTACCAGGATTATGTTGGCCGTGATTATGATCCGAACAGATGGGAGGCGTTCCCTGCGTAAGTGCTGTGCGACAATGCTTGTTTTCTAGTTTTCATGCTGACGCGTTGGCAGCGAACACGGTTACTACACCCAGGGTGTGAAGACTCTCAAGGACCAAGAACCCAAGCCGTACCTGCCCTACCCCGATTACAACAGCGCCGAATACCAAAAGGAGTGGAATGGGGAATACGTGGCTTGCACCGGTCCGCGCGGAAAGTCCTTGAATGAGAGTGTGCAGGATCTGGTTCTTGCGTATCCGGAAATTTCCTCCAAATTTCCCAAGCCTTCGATCGGCTCTATTGAGGGTATTGGCCTTGATTCGAGCGTCTGCTTCGATCGCTACGGGCGCTATGGTGCCTATGGTTTTGGCGCAGATGAGTATGACCTGCCCGACTGGGAACCGAAGCAGGAGCAGCAGGTCATCTGGAGGTCCGTCAAGTGGGGACAGCTTCAGGACGAGTGTGTGGCAAAGAACCAGCAACGCTTCAAGCCTGAAGCTCGCACTACGAAGACCGAGTTGCAGCCCGGTCTCGACATCCCTGACTATGCTGAAGACATGTCCAAGACGGAACTCCGCAGCGAGGAAGGAGGTGTGGCGAAGAAATACCACCCTCGCACGGCCGTGCTGATCCGCACGTGGGAGGGTTACACCTACACCGAGAACGACCTTCAAGCTATCCGCGCTATGATTACCGAACTTTCCCTGCTCTCTGGCGGTGAATACCAGGTCTTCCTTTTCGTCAATGTCAAGGACCGCAGTGTGCCAATTTTCGAGGACCCTCAGGCGTACGATGACATGCTCAAGAAGGTTGTCCCGACTGAACTGCGCAGCATCAGTATCCTTTGGAACGAAGACATTTGCCAGAAGGCGTACCCTGAGGTCACTGATTGGCAGGTCTACTGGCACCAGTTCATGTCGGTGCAATGGTTCATGAAGACCCACCCAGAGTTCGAGTACGTTTGGAACTGGGAGACTGACGCCAGGTATACTGGAAACCACTATCATTTCCTTTCCAAGATTGGAGAATTTGCCAAGAAGCAGCCGCGTAAGTACCTCTGGGAGCGCAACAAGCGCTACTACATCCCTCAGATGCATGGCGACTGGCAGACCTACTTCAACGACACCAACGCTGCCGTCGAGGATGCTTGGAGCCAAGGCTACATTCAGAGCCCCGTTTGGGGCCCGCTTCCCTACTCCACTGCGCAAACTCCAATGGGACCCGCGCCTCCTAGGGAGATGACCGCCGACAACTTCGAATGGGGTGTCGAGGAAGAGGCTGATCTCATTACTCTGCTGCCTATGTTCGACCCTACTTACACTTTCTGGTCTTACCGCGACAAGATCTGGAATTACATCCCAGGCCTGCACCCTGACTTCAGCGTCGACCCCTACGACAACGCCTATACCGATGAGCGCTTCAAGATGATCCCTCGTCGCATCTTCATCAACACTGTTGCCCGTTTCAGCCGCAAGATGCTGCACACGATGCACGTCGAGAACAAGGTCGGTCGCAGCATGCAAGCGGAGATGTGGCCTGCAACCGTTGCCCTGCAGCACGGTCTCAAGGCTGTCTACGCTCCCCAGCCCGTCTGGTTTGACCGCATCTGGCCGCCGCACTACACCGATGCCATCTTCAACGCCAAGCTTGATGGCGACCAGAACCCCATTGGTTGGTCTGAAGGCCCCGACTCGCCCTACAACGGCGACCGTGAGCACAACTTCTACGGCTGGAGTTGGTACTTCAGCTCGCGCTTCCCCAAGGACATCTACAGGCGCTGGCTTGGCTGGAAGGTCAGGGTGCACGAGTGGGGTGAGCCTGAGCGTCTTGCCGGTGGTATCGAGGAGGAGCACGGCATGGGCGAACGCGTCGATGTTGGCGGCTCCGAGAACAGGGATACGGAAAAGCCAGTTGTCGGTGGGCGGATGTGTCTGCCTGGCATGCTGCTGCATCCGGTCAAGCGAATCCAGCAGGGTGAGATTTGAGAGTCGTCATCGCGACTCGCTAATAGCATCACATCTGGAAGCACGTGCTCGGGGATCAAGCTGGCCGTGCCGCGTCATGGATTTTGCGTCCAGCCAACGACTCTTCTCTTAGTCAATTGTCGACCGAGAAGTTTCGACGCCGTCATCGGGCAATTCAGGCCGATTGTTCCTGATCAAAGAGTACCACGATACCACTACCACCTGCAGACCCTGCAGCATCCGGCTTCCATGATCCAAAATGCTCATAATGCACATGCGACACGGCGTTCACGGAAATCTTCATTGCGACTGCTTTTAGCGGTTTTTGGTTTTTTTTGGCATATGCGATGCTCCTTCTAGTCTGGTTCAGGATTGGGTTTTTGAAAGACTACTCTCTTTGTAAAAAAAAAAAAAGCATGCGCACGGAGATCAGCTCCCAAGGAGAGAATTCGAGTTCTCTTCCAGCCTTACCTTCTTTTACTTTTTCTTTCTTATTACTTTTGTCTTCTTCGCCCACCGCCGGTCTTATTTCTGACGTGGCCGAGAAGGGATGGAAGGGCAATTGAGCCAATTGCTGAACCGGACGGAACGAGTGGCCAAGCGAGGAGTTTGTTTTCTTATCTTGTGAGAATCGGGAAGTCAAAGTCAGGCGTTTTTTTTTTTTTTTTTCTCTCTCTCTTATCTTTTTCGGACTAGATGTGCAGGGTAGGCGAGAATGTGAACGAAGCTGAATCGAGATATACCTTGACAAGAGCGAAGGCTTTGGTGGCTGTGCTGTGCTACAGTGAATGTTCCGTTTATGCGCCCTGACCTCCCGTAATCTTTATGCCCTCTTTTCACTATCGGCGAAATTTCGTTGCCCCTTGCGCTGGCTTATAGCCAAGTTTTTTCTTGTAGCTGAGCAAGACGAAAGACGGACAGGTGCGCACAGTGCTACCTAGCGCAAGGACAGGAAATTGCGCCTACCACGTGGTAGCCATCAGCTAACGACGGATAGCACCGAGCTTCTCCACGGCGCACACGCAAAGAACTCGGGGCAGCAACATGGACTGACGAAGCGTGGGGGGGAGTTAAGGCGCAAGTTCCTCGTGCCCAAAGACGGCGCGGACAATCTTAAAGACACTGAGGTATATGCGGATGTGACCGGAAGCGAACGAATCGTGGCTGACGTGGACGAGTGGTAGAGGAAGACGGGGGCGCCCATGCTTCTGTGGTGTTGGCCAGGGCGTGCCATTCCATATGTCCGGCCGTGTAGGTCGCGCAGGTGGCATTAAGATCACCGGAGAGAAAGATTGTAGAAACCGTCGTGCAGCGCCTCGCTAACTACTCGCTGGTGTCGCAGATAAGGATCCGTTGCTTTGGGTTGGGTTGCCTTGACTTGGACATTCCGATGTCTAGTTATCCCCTTCTGCGCCCGCGCCGCTAGGTACCTATCGTGATCTGCTCCTCGGCTACTGAGCGCAGTGTTGTGGCGATGTTGCGCGCATCTTGCTGTCCCTCGCTCTTGGGCGCTTGCTCTGGGTGTTAATGGTGTCTCTGGGCTTGGATGCCGCTTGTTCGTGGTCGTGTTACACAATACGAAGTGTGCATGAAGAGTCCTAAATAACCTCTTTCTTGTCGCTGTTGATCAGTTTGCCAAGAGCCCGGTCTTCGACGGGGGACCAAGTGTGCTAGCGTAGTCAGCAAGCCGTAGGGCCCGTCTTGCTAGACGGTGAATCTCGGTCGACGGTGATGGACGTTAGAGAGGAAGCCCGGACTGCTTTGTAGACATGAGAGATGGTGTTTGTCATCCACACGCAGAGTACCGCGTGTCCTACAAGTAGAAGGCATCAGCAAACAAGAGACCCATCGGAACAGTAAGCGCGGCCCGTCTGGCCCGGTCTACACGGGACTCCGGCGAGTTAACTACTTCTACGAGTAGGTGGCAGCTCGGGACTCGGTGATGCGCACTGTCGGCCGAGCCACACGTGACTCATCCTCCGACCGACCCCCAAAAGAAAGAAGCTGATTACACACACTATGTCTTTACGAAACTCCGCTCCGCCATGCCAGATTACCGTAGCATCTTCTCAGAGCAACACCTCCCTCGCCAGATCCAAGCATCGGTTGAGGCGAGTCAGTTCCCATACTCCTACCGGTAGCTAGCCGTAGCTCTGCCTGCCAACGATGTCAGCCATACCGCGAGTCGCGGATGGGGCACCAACTCAGTCGCAACATCCTGCTGTAAGGCCACCTATCATCAGTCGCCCATTTGCTTAGTATCCCTGAGCTATTCCGGTGATTAGTGTAGTTAGTTTGATGCTGTTTGTCCTGCTAACTTCATTCTAGTGCGACTTGTGTTATGCACGGAAGGTCTGACTGTCCCGTGTCTTCTCTGAAATGCCTACTCACCGACCGTTACTACAGATCAAATGTGATCGAGAAAACCCCTGTGGCAACTGTGTCGATGCCAAAACTCAGTGCCTAAGGACGCGACCAAAGCGGGTTGGGCGACCCCGGCAATCAGCTGGTGCAAAGTCAGTGTGGCGATATTACTTCTGGTCTTGCAAGTATTTGGGACGCATTGAAACTAAAACATTTCAGTGATGGCAGAACTGAGATGGCTAACCGCCTATCTCGCCTTGAGAACTCTGTGACTCGGTTGGCCTCCATATTCTCTACGGACCCTTCAAGAGAACGCCGAAGTGGGTCACCATGGGAACCTCCAACAGAGAATGAAGAAAGAAGTCACGGACGGACCCCTGGGTCTTCCAGCCCTCCCGACCCAACAGAGCATGCCGATCGAGACCAACCTAGTACAAAGCGTAGGCGTGTTGGATCAGTAGCGCAGCAATCGAATCAAGAAGAAGAGGATGACCAGCGGCAACCCAATCAATCCGAGCAGAATTCACCCAATGAAGCCTCAAAAACCGTACCAGAGCATGATTTTGCCGCTGTCACAAGAATAGAGGCGCAGAACTTTATCCAAGGAGAGCTGGAAGATGGAGTGCACATCAACACTGAAAGACGCGCAGTGCTGGAATCCGCGCTGCAGTTCATCAATCAAATGACAACCCCTCCAAAGATCAAACAAAATAAGCCGGGCACAGATACCTGTAAACAAGCGTTATCGGACGCATTAACGCCCCCGCCCCCAGAATTCCTGCACATGATGCTTACTGGTAAGCTTCAGCATGCGATTAAATGTTCGATTTCACTAAGTGCAGCGCAGAGGCCTATAAACCGACGAAGCGGCCAAGCCTTCTCACGGCGGATGCTCTGGATTACTCAACCTTCATATCACGCGTATCTATGGAGAAAATGAGCGTAGGATTGATCAAAAAAGATGCGGACGAGGTAACCCTTGTTCAATATGCACTGTGCGTTAATGCCTTTGCCTTTTCTTTTTTGCATTCCCTTGGTGAGCAAGGCGAAAGCCAAGCTCTACAAGAGCAGCTTCTCGAAACTAGAGAAGCGTATCTCCGAAGAGCGCGCATTGCCATGAACTATATTAACATTCTGACCACCCCGAATCTACTGCTTCTACAAGCTCTTTTAGCAGGTGTAGGTCTCCTCTATACAAGCTCGATGAGACTAGGCTTACCTCCAGCAGGCTATCCTTTGCCAGAAGCTTGGCGATACCTCCACAGGTTGGGTACTTATAGCGACGGCGTCCCATATCTGCGTCACGCTCGGTCTACCTGAAGGACACTCAACTGCTGATTTACCTATAGGCGAGAATCTTGAAGCCCCAGGATGTTTCATTTGGATCTATATCATGGATAAAGGACTTTCTCTCAGCCTCGGACGTCCTGTCTCCTTGCCTATCATGAGCAGCCCAGTGGATACGCTTATTCCACTTGATTTGGGCGTTCCTCGCTCAGCTATCTTGTGGACTTTGCTGCAACTCGCCAAAATTCAGGGCTCTTTTCTTACCGAAGTGCAATTTCAGCTAGACAAGGAGCGGAAGGCTACCAGCATCAACTCGTTGAAGCAACAGATGTTCCAACTCAAGAACAAAATGGCAGAGGTATGTCCAGTGAGTGACTGATTCGATCTGATCGACAACTGATGTTTTCAGATACGCACAACTTCTCCGCACTCTACCGTCCCTGATTACATCTATGAATGGATGGCAACGGACTTCATTTACCATTCGCAAATGACTGTAATCCTACGCTCCGGCAACGATGGTATTGTCAGCGACATCCTCAAAGGCGAGCAATGCCTGGAGCACGCCCGACGAGCCTTCCAATCCCTCAGCGATCTCAAAAAGTACCTCGCGGCAGGGGTATCCAACGCCAACAGCCGGCGCTGGCCATCCTTCATGTCCTGGTAAGCAACACCGACCCCCAACTCAACGCGCGCCCACCACGCTCGTCTCCTAACAAAAAGAACCGCAGGACGGTACTCTACTACCCCCTCCGCCCGTTCTTCGTCCTCTTCTGCAACGTCGTCGCCACCTCGCACGCCGCCGACTACGACCTCATGAAAGACTTCGTCAGCCACCTGGCCGACCTCCCCCGCGTCAACCAAGCCGGCCCCCGCCTCGCAAAACTCTGCACCACGCTCCTAGCCCTCTGCAAGCCGCTCGTCGAGCCCCACAGCAACAGCACCAGCACTCACCCGAACCAACCCCACGGCCCCAACACCTCCGCCACTACCACAAACCATCACAGCCAACCACAGCAGCAGCAGCAGCAGCAGCAGCAGCAGCAGCAGCAGCAAGCCCCACAAAGACCCCCAACCGCCTCCGCCGCGCCAAGCATCGGCCCCCCTGCCCCTCCCTCCCGTCCCACCGCGCCAGAAGATACTCGCCCGCCAGGCCTCGGCCTCCCATGGTTCCCGCCCTATCTGATCAGCAGCATCGCCGACGCAAGAGCGCGCGAAGAAAACAACCACCAGACCAGCTCCAACGAGGAAATGTTCTCGGCCCTGTTCGACGTGCAGCCCTCGATGGACTGGCTGCGCGCGGATCTGTTCGGCCAGAGCGAGGACTGGTCTGGCTTTGATGCTAGCTTTGACTTGCTGTAGGCTCTGTTGGTTGGCGTGGGGCTGGAGTTGGACGTATCGTTTTTGTGAGGTATGTAGGCTTGGAGTTGAGACTCTTTGTTTTGGCGAGGCGCTCAAGGAAAGGGATGGGTTAGATTGAGTTGGTGTAGGGAGATGATGCCTTGTACGATATGTGTATATATTATACTCCACCTTCGGTTATGATAATTGGTATCAAGCAAGCGAAATAGTATTGGGCGGGAAACAGACAGCACAGCAGCTTTAAAAGGCAAACCACGACTCTCAAATCTCAAATCGAAAAATGCAAAGGAATAAATTCATCTCCAATTAAGAAGAAAAAGAATTAAACTAGCAATCCGCAAACAATGTCTTCGCAACCTCAAAACGCCACGCTCGTAAAGGGCGTACATATAGCCCCATTATGAGAAGCTCAAAAAAGAAAAGGAAAGAAAAGAGCAGAAGAAAAAATCATAAAAGTGAAAGTTAAAAGAAAAGGGAAAAAAAAAAAAGAAAAAACGAAAAAAAAAAAGGGGACAAAATCTCTACCAAACCATCGCTCTAATCACCTAACCACCAAGCCGCAACATCTTTTCCATCATAAAACCCCCAATACGCCTATGCTGATGCCCCAAGATGTGCAGTTTAGTCCATCCATCCACCCCTCCCCCCCACTGACCTAGAACCCCCATACTCTTGCCCAACACCAAGCATCCATCTTTCCTTAAACTCTCTCTTTCCCCCCTCACAGATACGGCATCCACAACGGATCCGTCATGCACAGCTTCGTCGGATTGACAGCCGCAGCAACAAGGTCGACAACAGTCTGGTTAGCGGGCAAGTTGCCACTGCTGGGGACCTCGGCGAGGCTCTTAGCGCGCTTGACAATCTGGCTCGAGTTGTGCTCGACGCTGTCGCGCAGCGCGCCGTCGGCCACGTTGTTGCGGTGCTGCTGCGTCTGCCAGTGCACCATCTCGTCGCGCACGAATATCGACAGCTGCATCTCGATCTCGCCCTCGGGCTCTACCAGGCACCGCGCTATGGCCATCAGCGCCGGCGCGTAGATGCCCTCGGTCGCGAGCGGGCCCATCATCGTTTGTAGGTTCGGCGTCAGCCGGAATGGCACCGGCTCCGGGTTGTGGAAGAGCGGCTTGCCGCCTGCCATGGCTGGGATCAGCTCGCTGCCCCAGATCTTGCCTGATGCTCGTGAGATGTTCATCTTGTGAGGGTAGCGCGTGTTCATGTGCATGACGTAGGTGATGAAGGTGAGCGCGGCGAGCTGGTACGAGAATTGCCGGCGGAAGAGCCACAAGTCGGCGAAGGATGGGTATGTTGCGTTGAAGTAGTCCAGCATTGCAGTCGGAGGAACATACTTCTCCTGAATAGCAGCAAAGATCTCCAAGCGGACGGCGTTACTGTGCTCCAGGTTCCGCTGCCTGGCCATCTCGGAGTTCGGGTGTCCAGCCGGTGGAACCGGATTCATCAGTTGCGGTCCGATACTGCGGAGCTTCTCGATCGCGAAAAGGATCGGGCCATCCTTGTTGACGCCATTGCGGCGACAGTAGTCCTCGTAAATGCCCTGCAGACTGATGTAGGATGAGTCGTCCTGGATCATACGGACACCAGGCGACAGAGGAATCATCAGCGGCAGAGTGAACTGCAGGTTGCGACGTCGACTTTCCTTGCGCTTGGACAAGGTGGTATTGAAGATGCGGAACAGCTGCAAGATGCGCTCCTCGCGTCTACAGTTTCTGGCAGCAGGGTGCTGGATAGCAAACGGATGAGTGCTGCCATCATGGCCACGAATCTTGAGACGACGGTGACAGAAACCAACAGTACGAACCAGATCAATGTCGGGAAGGAAGCGTTCGATGCGGACAAAGTCCTGGTTCTTGTCGCGGTGAAGCAAGTACTGACCGGGGACTTCAATCTCGTCAAACTTCTGGTACTTGAAGTCGCTAAGATGGGTCGTGTACTGCTCTAAGTAGTGCGTAAGCCGACGACGATCCAGCTTCTCCTCGAATCTGTTCCTCCATTTGCGAAGCTTCTGAATGTATTCATACATCGTAGGCTTCTTGTTGACGAAGTCCGCCTCAAAGGACCGGCGGATGTGCGGCGGAAGGACCGACTCAGCGAAACGCGTAATGTTGGCCTCGGTAGAGCTAGGCAGCTTGACATCTTGTGCGTACAATGCTGGTTGACGACCGACATAGCTTAGACCATCGTTCAGCAAAGCCACGATCAGCCTGTAGGCATCCTCATCAGGAGGACACTTGAAGTGCTTGGCGATACCGTCGCTCATGGTTTCCATGGACAGTGCAAGAAGAGGGAATGCAGTCTTGAGCGCTGCCATAACCTCTTCCACATACTCCCAAGGCTTCTTCGGCTGCGCGGGTTGCTCGCCCGGCGTCGATTGACCAGGTGCACCCTCGACCTTCGGAGTACCAGAACCCTGTTGCCCACCATTTTGTTGCCCATTGGCCTGTTGCTGCTGGTTTTGTTGCTGCTGTTGCTGGCCACCCTGCTGTTGATTGTTGTTACCACCAGCCTGACTTCCAGGCCTCTGCTCTCCATTAGCGGTACCCGGTCTTGGAGGGGAGCCGCTTTGCTTGATCTGTGGAGAGTTCTGAGCCTGGTTCTGATTCTGGGCTTGGTTATGCTGGCTGGCCTGTTGGGCCTTCGCCTGCTTCTCACGGATAGCTTTCTCCCTCGCTTCCTTTGCCTCCTGTTGCTTGCGAATGGCGTGCATGTCCTCACGGCTCGTACGGAGTTGGAAGAACAAGGCCTGTGGGTATGTCTTGGCAAGCTGGCCGAGTACCTTCCGGCAAATGGGTGCTTCGGGACGAGAAAGACCGATAAACAATTGAGGGATGTAGGTGATCCAGTACCACGACGGGGTATCGCCCTTGAACTGCTCAAAGGTCTTAGACAAAAGGTGCTCAGAATTGTCAAGGCTAAGAAGCCACAAGATACGACCAAGAAGCTCGCGCGACTTGTGGTTTTTGTACTGGCTTGCAGCTTCCAAGTAGCAGCTGATTGCCGATGCGGCCTTGTCCAGGGTTTGCGGGCTTTCTTTGAACAGATTGTCGTTATAACGACCCCATTCCTTCCAAGCCTTGGGCAACTTGATGTCAAAGTAGAGCGCACTGCCAAAGGCATCGTTCGCGTCGCTCTTCTGGCCCAGTTTCGCAAGGAACATGCCCTTAAGAGTATAGAACTCGGCCTTCTGTTGCGCACCAAAGTAATTGAGATTGGTGTTGTTGATAACGTCAAGGCCACTGTTGAGCTCAGTCTTGTTCTGGTAGTGACACTTGGCTTGCTCCCTAAGCTTGAGGAAAGCTTCCTGGATCTCAATGTTTGGCAGCGTGTAGATCCGGCTAAGCTGGTTGATGCAAACCTCCGGAAGGCTATGTTTACGAGCAACGTGAGCGAATCTGTTGATAATCCAAGCCGTTTCATGGTAGCCCCTGTAGGCGTACGAGTTTCCAGAAGCATTACCCTGCTGCTGAGGCAGAAGTTGCAAGTACTTGCCGTTGATGAGCTGGAAGATGTGCTGACGCCATGTGACAAGGTCCTGCCATGCGTTGATGTCGTCCCAGAAGTTGGGCAAGCGATCACGCCACGTGCTGAGTAGGAGTTTGAGTTCCTGAGACTTGTGGTCCAAGTTCTGCTGACTTGTTTGAGCCAAGCTGGTGCAGATGACACTAGCGTCGTGGAGCTCAACCAACTGTTGGAAGTTTTGCAGCAGTGGAATATGAGCATTGGTAATCCTCTTGGGAAGCTGGTGCCACTTCCGAATGGATAGTTGGATGGCTTCATCGCAGATTCTGTTGAAATCTTGAGGAGCCTCCGTCTGACCATGAAGCTTAAGTAACGACATGAAAGCCTGGAAGAAAATGCGCCGAGGCGTAGGGGAGTCTGAGACCGCCTTGATGCTCGACTCCAACTGCTCGCGCGTCTCGTTATTTTGCCAAGCATCAAAGATCCTCCACATGGATTCAAGGTAGAGGTCGCTGAAGTTTTCATGTTTGGCAAAATCGCTCAGGATCTCCCATTGTTGCAGCTTTTGCGCGCACACCACCCAGTGATCTTCCCAGAGCATGTACTCGCCTTGAGAGAAAGGCAGAGCTCCTGTGCGAGCCTTGATTTGGGCCGTCTCGTACAACTTTTGAGCATTGTCCCACATACCATTCTGTTCGTAAGATAATGCCGCGTTCGTTTCAACATACTGGCAGCGTCTTCTCCAAGTGCCGTAGAACAGGTCATGCTCCTCGAGTTGAGAGTAAACCTCAAGCAATGCATCAAGGTTGCTCTCCCTGATGGGCGCGGTGTCAATAATGGGGTCGATAGCGAAATCTTCCATGTAGCACAGAGAAGTGTACCACGCGTTGTAGGTCTGCGCAAGGAACTTCATGACATGAGGTGGGAATTTGACTCTTGGCCTCGCCTTGACAACGCCCTCGAGGACAGTTTGCACGCAGTTGGGCCTCTCGTCAATCGACTGGATGTGGTAATCCTTGGTGAGCAGAGCAACAAGGCCCTTTTCAAGATCTGCTTGGTCCTCCCTCGGAAGCGCAGACCAGCAAAGGGGAAAGAAGGCCACCCAAATGTCGTGCGCCAGGTCCGGATCGACGTGCTGAAGGTGAGTGAGAGGTTCAAAGAGATCGCGAATTTTGACATCGCTGATGGAGTTCATAAACTGCCGATGAGCTGAAATGTAGGACTCAAGTTGGTCGTCTACTATGACATCGCTAGCACGAGAATCCTTCGAATAGGATCCATAGAGTGCTGAAATCGGCATGACTGTGAAATCTTCGCTGTGCAGGTGAACGGAAGTGTTCATCTCGATCGATCCAAACATGAGGTGAATGACCTGGTTCAACCAGAATGAGCGACCGAGGATGTCCCAATTCTGTCCCGCGATGACATAGTTCAAGCGTGCGCTTGCCGTCCGGCTGAGACTGCGGTCAAAGATGGTCATGAATCTGTTCCGCATATCTACGTCCTCGGCTCTGGTGCCAATCAAAAATGCATGCTCCATACGGACTGTAAGCTCCGACCTGGTGATCTTGGGATCCTCATAAATGCGGATGACGAGGTTGAGGAACTTGGTCAAGAGCGTCTTGTCTGTACGCTGTTCGAAAGCTTGCATCTTTGATAGGACTGCCGTTTTCTCTTTGAGCGTCGGGACCGGCTCATTGCTGTCAAAGATCCAGCCCTCGGTAAGGTCGACAATCTTCTGACAGATGAGATTGCTTGGAGAGCGCTCAACTAGGGATGCCAAAACCGTCAAGAATGGACGCCTCTGGTCTCCCAATTGCGCCATGCGAGCGGCCAAGAAATCAATGGCCTTCAAAATGAGCCTGATCTGGATTTCATGCTCATAGGAGCCCAAGGGAGCACCGTTAGGTTGATCTGGCCGCATGCCATGAGGTAAAGACGCCTGTCCTTGTGGCTGGTTCGGCGCAGTGAGGTGTTCCCTGCTCATGTGGTTGAGAACCTTGACCATCGAAGCAATATGCTGATTGTCTATGTCATCCGGCCGACGCAGGCAGAGAGTCCATAGGATGTTAATAGCAGCAATATTGTTGTTGTTGGAAAGCGCCTCTGTTGCAACCGTGCTGCAGAACTGAACAAATTCAGTAGAAGGTGTTTCTTCAGTGGTGCCCTCTTCATCCGTGGTAGGTTCCGGCATCACCTCGAGGACGCGCTTCAGGAGTGGCTGCATTTTGGGCTTGGCATCTGCTTCGCTGGGCGCGTGCATGCAATCCTGTATCTCCGCATTCTCGCTGCGCACAGACCTTTCCAATATCTTCTGCAGCTGGGGAAGATGACCCAAAATCCAATCACCTGTTTTGACGTTGACAAGTACCTTGACAACTTGCAGCGCGTTCATCAGCCTGGTAGTATAGACCTCAGGCTTCTCATCCTGCTTGGATTCGGCCGTGGAAACGTGCTCGACCCGGGTCAAAATGTTGTCAAGGTCGAGGTCGCTCCAGTAGAAAGAGGAAAGTAAATCATGAAGCAGGTGCAGCGCCATTTGAACAGAGTCGGTCGACTGCGCAGGTGGAGCGCCATTGGTAGTGGCCGTAGACTCCCTCGTCTTCGTAGATGGTACCGGGAAACGCTCAGGAATGTACATGATGAATTGGACCAAGTATTTGATGAGCATCAAACGGAGAGTAGAGGGAGCCACGTAGGACCTTGCCGGTGGGGTGTGGTCAACCATGGTGCCATCATGCCGTCTTTTTGGAGATCGTGAGCCGCCAATGGACAGTTGCTCAATGGTGAGGCCAGTATCCTTGGCTGTCCTCTCTTCCCAATGGCGGAGCAAGTTTATGAGATTGAGAGCGATCTTTTTGCTCTCATTTCCCAGGCTAGGCGGCTGAGCAATCTTCTGCAGGGAGGGAATTATGATCGTGGCTAGTGGTTCCCTAGCCTCGTAGAAGAGGTCAGGGTGGCGAACAAGGAAGTTAAATATGCATAGGAGTTGCTGCAGGTTGGAGCTCTCCTCGGTGAGAATCTTTTTCGGGATCCTAGCCCACATAGGCGGCTGCTTGTTGTCGACACCGCCGATACGCTTCTTCAAGACCGGAGCAAGCACTTCGAGCGCTTGCATGACTAACGGCCGCCCCTCATTCTGGTGAGCTTTGAGCAGCTGAGAGTAGATCTGGATCGCGATCTTCGGTGGGGTATCATAATGAGCAATGAAGTATGCGATAAGCACGTACGCCGCGTGCTTGTTTATAATGTCCTCCAAACGGATGTAATTCCAGCCAAACTTGATGACGTCCTTACGAGCGTCCTGGATGAGACTATGATGATACTTGACAAGGAGAGTAGTCATCTGGAGGAGTTCCATCCTCGAGTGATCGACACCCAACTGGCCTGTCTCTTCTACCTGCTCCACGGAATAGACGCGCCAGAGACGGTTGTGGATGGTCTCTGTCATGTTGCGGTCCATGAGCTTGGTGCCCTTGCTAGTGCCGAAGAGATTGTCCCAGTTACGCATGGCGTCCATTGCGAAGATAGGGTTCACAATGTAGTGGAAGGCAAAGGTCTTGGTCTTCTGCGACGTGTTGCGGCCAGTGTAGAGGTCTATGCAACGGACGACAAGCATTCTCCAGTACTCAACAGACTCGCTGGAGATCATTTGATTGTAGATGAAGTGGAAGAGCAAAGGCGAAGCCTTGAGCTCTTCCGCAGTGACTCCATCGATAACCTCCACAAAGAAGTCCAGGTTGTTTGGCTCATGCTTGAGGTAATTGGTGAAAACACTCATAATCCTCTCTCCCGCTTGGTCGACAGCAAGACGCAAACTGGCCTCGATGGTGTTTTGCCTGAGGCGCGTCTCCAAAGCCTTGCCGGACTCTAGAAGAGCTTTCCGCAAGTCATCGTGATTGACAAGCCAATTGCTTGTCTCGGGATGTTTGCACACCGATTCCACCACATGGATGGCATTGATTGCAGCGGGCCATCGTTTCTGCTCGTCGTCGATCATGAATGAGTTGATGAAACCCTGAGTATCGTTTACGATGACTTCTCTCAGCGGACGACTAGCAGGGTCTGCAATGATCTGGGCAAAGAAACGGCCATTTGCATGATCTCTGATGTGCGGGGCAAACTCCTGCCAAGCTTCCTTAGGATAGTGGTTGAGGTACTTGATGAGCGGTTCTCTGAAGGGGCTGTAGTGCGTCCGCCGCAAGGCTGCTTCTAACTCGATGATCTTTTGAACAAGGGATCCCAAGAAGCCGACAGCAGCAGCAGGAAGAAGATGAAATACGTTCAGGATGGCAGTAACAGTCTTCATAGACTTGTTCTGCTCAATGAGCGTAAATGAAACGGCCTGTAATACCCGAGCATCCGCAATGATCTTCATATGGTCAAGCAGGCGCGAACCAATCTCGACCTTAAAGTAATTGGTCAAAAGCTTCAGAAGTCTTGCCAAGCCGTCCAAGCCTTCAACCGTAAGCTTCTTGGGGTCTTGTAGGTTGACCAAAATAGGACGAAGACCACTCTGCAGCACATCCTTAGGAAGCTTGTTGGTGGTGTGGAGTACGCCCTGCAGACCAGCGTTGGCAGCCTCAACAACCTGCGGCGATTTGGAGTAGAGCGCTTTGAAAAATACAGAAATGACTCTGAGGAAGGTTTGGTTGGGAGGGTTAGAGGAGAACTCGGGGAATCCTTGAGCGGTCGACAAGAGCTTGATGCAGGCGACTCGCAGGTTGACAATGGCTTCAGCGTTTCTCTGCTCTTGAGGTTTTGCTGTGAGACCCTCATCTTCCGCATCCGCAAGGGCTAGAGCTTCGGTAAGTAGACGGGTGAGCACTTCGTTGAATTGGAGGACGTTGTGACCCAGCTTCAAACAGAAAGTGACTGCATCGATGTAGCCAATTTGGATCGAAAATGGCAGTGCCCGAAGGGGCTTGTTGAAAATGGGATCGAGCAGCCTCTTGCTGACAGGAAGGACAAGCTCATGAGGCTCAGAACCAGTGATTTCGGCAATGACCTTAAAGTTGTGCTGAGCTGCTAAGCGCACGTGCTTGTTCGAATGAGAAAGCAGTGTGACAAGGAAACCACAAAGGCTGAGCAGTTTGTTGTCCGAGTTCGGAGGTTTGCTGAGGTCGTCCTTGTTGATTGTCCCATTGCATCTTCGCAGCAGCTTTTCTAGCGTCGTCTGTGCGTTCACCCTCGTCGAGCTTGTCAGATCCAGCGGCATGTCCTGCATGACGTACATAAGGGCTCTAGCAAACTCATTGAGTCGACGGCCCTCCGTAACCCAAGAATCGCTGATATCAAGTTTTGTGGTCAGGATCTCGATACCCAGAGTACCACCGTGCTTGACGAACCACTCTTCTTGGTGGCAGTTATGGCAAAAGGTATCTGCCAGGCTCTTGAAGAGTGGCAGCTTTTCTGCCTTTGCCGGCGTGCCGAAAATGATGACTGCGGAATCGTACAAAGCCTTCAAGGCGTCCTCTGCGGCCTCTTTCACCTCCACATGGTCAGATGACAAGCTGTCTGCTATCGCGTCGATTATCACTCTGGTCTCGATGACGACAGGGCCCTCACCAGAATTGACGTCGAACGGCTTATTACGGTGTTTGGAGATGGCAAGCGCCGTGCCCACCTCCAAAAGAGCGAAGTGCTTGCAAACGTTGTTCATGAAGGCTGCCGCCTCTTCCTTCAATTCGGGGATGGACGCAGAAAACATGACAGCTTTCAGCAGCTTCCGGAGCGTATCTTGCTGAGCACCCTTTTTGGCACTGGACTTTTCTCTTTCCGAGGCCTCGAAGATATCGGGACCGACGTCCCCCTTCGCAGCAATGAGATCATTTGCTTGCAAACGAACGAGCTCTGCAAAGTCATCTGGCAGGCTGTCTATTCCGATAAGGAGTTTTGCTTGTGCCAATACGAACTTGAATGCCTGTTGCTTGTGGAAAATATCAGACTTCTTCGCAGCAGCAGTCTTGGCAGACTCGTTGAGCTTGAAGATGGCATTCTCCACACCGACAGACATAGGGAAAGCGCGATCTTTCATCGAGCCAACTAGCCTGATGTCAATGCTAGGCGCATCATCGGCATATGGTTTGAATGCCAGCTCAGGAGGGCCGTTAAGGAACTTTCGATTCCGTCCTCCAAGTTTGCCGAGGATGCGCATCGTAGTGTGCGCATGGAAATGGCTGTATGGGTTTGGTTTTAAGTGCTCCCAAAGCCCTTGCATAAGTTCGTCAATGACAGGCGCCATGATTGGGTCCAAGTAATCCGCGGTTAAGTTGTCTACGCAAAGCTCCAATGTGCGAAGGCCTTGTCCAACAAGATCGGAGCCGGCTCTCAATGCCACCACGAGTGGTCGCATCAAGTAGCACAGATGAGGAAGAAGGTTACTTAAGCGAGCCGGGACAGTCAGGGAAAGCTCAACGAAGAGGTCCCGTTCTGACGGTTTCCTAGCACCCACAAGCAAGTTGTTCAACACCTCTAGCAGCATCTCCAGGAGTGGAAGGATTTCTTTGTACAGATGCTCGAATCGGCCGCCGCCAATACTCCTGAAAAGGGATCGCAAAAGCAGGAAATAGTTCATGGGATCCTCTGCAGTGATCGAAAGGTCGATTGACTTGGTGACAATCTTTGTGACATGCGGCAGAAGGACCTGCTCATTCTGCTGCGAGAACAAAGTAACGGCCATGAAGGAAAGTTTGAATAGACGTAACAGAATAGACGATTTCTTGACGTCGGCTGTGCCCACTTCGTCAATCTTACCCATAAGAAACTGTAGCAGCATCCCCGCAAAACTCGGAGATGTAGCCTCGGACGCTAGCAAGAACTGTGGCACATGAAGGAGCGCATTGTGATCAAACATCATGTTGTAGAGGTGCGGGATTTCCGACTCGAAGACTTCGTGGAATGTAGCCGGGTCGATATGGTGGAACACCGTCGCGAACGTCTCTAAAAGCTCCTTTTCTTCTTTTCCGCTGGACATCATATGCTGGTTGCCCAAAAGTTCGCTGGGGGACAGGTTCTGAGGTTCGCCACTCTGCTTCTCCACGCCATAGTAACGGAAAACCTGTGCGCCTTCACGGAAAAGCTTGATGAGCACCTCCACTTCTTCAGCGTTGTAGCCGAAAGAAACTTCGTGCCAATTTGCCGGAGTTGGAACGTTGGGGTCAATCTCCTCCTTGACTTTTGGCGGATTGCATGCGCGGAGCTGGTAAAAGAGATTCTTAAGGCCATGAAGCAGATTCTTAAATAAAAACTTGTTGTCTGCAATAGGATCGGAGCTACGTTCGCGGGGGTTCGTCGTTTTAATCGGTGTGGCGTTGAAAATGTCTACTTCGTCCCAATCCGGTGGTGAATCCTTCTCTGCAAGGAAATTTTCCGGCGTCGCTTCGATCGAAGGCTGCGAGTACTGCTGCGAGAGCTTCACGGCATTGTCGTATTGCCGGTTCATTGCTGCAAACTTGTCTCCGATGGCGTTTAGGATCATAATCAGGAAATAGCGGGCCTCCTGCTTCGGCTCGAGCTTCGCAATGCATTCGGCCATGTTCAGGAGCAGCTTTGCGCTCATCGTTTGAAAGCTGGTTCCAGGGAATGTGTCGTGCAAGTTCTTGGTATAAACCTCGACGGTTCTTCTGATTTGTTCTCGCGATAATGACTCCCGCAGATGGTGGATGAGATCAGCAAGCATGCTATAGGCGAGAGGCCTCATTGTCTCGTAGACCGTAAGACCATCCCCTATCAGTGTCCGTTCGTCTAGTAGCTCGTCTATCTTCTTCAAGAATATTTTGCGGAAGTTGAAGTTGATAATGTGTCGGATCGCAACCAGAAGTTCTTTACGCGCCCCGGATTTCTCTCTGGGGCAATCTTGCAGGAGCCGCACTACAATATCCGGTAATGTAGGCAAGAAATCCGTTAACTGCTGGGCGTACACACGCAGCAGGTATGCCAGAAAACTCATTGTCTTCACTTGTGCAGTGATGAACTCGCCAAAAGCAGCCCTGTTCTTGATCTCCTTGCTCACACCCGTGAAGATCTGACCCTTTGCCTTTGCGTCCGCATGTGCCTTTTCTTGCGGAGCAGCTTGTAACAATAACACATTCTTGATCAGCGGAACAAAGCGCTTGACATTCTTGTGGACGCAATTCCGGTACGCCTGGAACAAGGATACCACGATGATCGGGCATTCTGCCAGGACTTTGAAAGATTGCATGCCTTTCAGCAAATGCCGCGCCGTTTGTTGTTCACCTCCCAGTTCCCCAGCTGCTGACGCATTCCCTGGCGACCCTGGCCGTGGCGATTGGGAGTATTGCTGACCACTTGGTGTTGACGGAACACCCGCCTGTGAACCGCCGCTCCCCGATGGATTGTCGAAGGTTTCCTTGACCGCGGCATCCATATTTTCGAACATCTCGGCAATCAGATCCAAAAAAGGCTGTACCCGGTCAGCAAGAACTTTGGTCTGATGCCGCTCGAAATCCATGATCGTCTTCATGCAAAGGACTGCATTATCTTCATTCTCGGTTTTCGCAAGAACCATTAACCGGTCGACGATTTGCGGCGCATACGGTTCGAGGGCTTCCGCGGGGCTCATAGGTAACCTATGTAGGATTTCCAAGACGCAGTTTCGCAACCTCTGCACTAGCACATCAGAAACGACATATTTGTTAAGATGACTGTTACTGACCTGCTCTTGCGACGTGCTGATGAAGACCGGTGGCCCGTCAAGCAGCTTGAGGAAGACCGGTATGAACTTCTCTAGGAAGGAATTGTAGGTGGAACCGGAAGAGTACAGCTCAATGCTGTCACGGATTTCTGTCGCGACGCCAGTCTTGAGCTTCAGATCTGAATGCTAAGGTGTTAGCTAGCCCTCAATCAGACCGTGTACCCCTGGACATGGGTTCCATATGCGTACCCCCCGATGGATCTGCCAGCTTGGCCAGATAGGCTTCCATGTTTCTGTCGGCCGACATTGTTGCGATATGCAGCTTCTCAACTGCGGCAAGCGTCGCAAGTATCCTCCCCGTATCCTCAAGAGCCCTTGAGGATAGCGACCAACCCTATACGTGTATTACGAGCGTTCGGCGTGGTGGCGCATCGATGTCAGAGCGTAGATCGTGGGCAGGTAACCAGGCTGCGGAGGATTGCGGAGCTCGCTGTCGTCTGCGAGATGAAATTATTAGGCGGATAGGTAGTTTGTCGATTACTCTAGGTCTCGTAAAGGCATTAAGCACCGGCGACGTGCAAGCGAGAGTGAGTGGGGAAGAAGGCGCGTGGGGTGCGGCGTCGTCGCGCGGTGGTGGATTGAAGCTTTGGAGCGCCCGCTGCGCGTCGGACTTGAAGACCGCGGGCATGGCCTTGACCTGGAGCGATGATCCCTGCCGTTTTTGGCATGCCCTGACGCTAGTCCTGAAATGGTCCGTATGGGGGTGAACACCACTCCTATTTGTCTCTAAAGCGGCGACAATGGGTCTGGTTGTCAGGGTTTACGTGGAACGTGGTTATTGATTCTCCGGAAAGGCAGGGTGCTCATCTTTAGTCTATTGAGATACGAAAAACTGGGTTTTTCAATTATGAGATCATTGGCCTTTGATGCGGACAACAATCTAGTTTGTCTAGAGAGCAAGATGTCTCCCCGATGAGCCCAGTGGCTTCGTATGATACCGGCGCAGTATCTCAATTAACTCCGTCCAGCTTCTACGCCTACGCCTCCTGCTTCATCAAGAAGCCCCTCCGCCCTGGCCATGTCCTCCGCAGCTTGTGCATCTATCGGATGCCCCTTCTTCCACCCTTTCCCGTCCTCCTCGCCGCTTCCCACATCCTCTTCGTCTTCGTCATCATCGTCCTGTGCAGGAGCTTCGCCCAGTTCCGGCTTCCTCTTCCGCTCGAAATCCTGTGCGTGTGCTCCGTGCAGCAGTGCCCCCACTCGCGAGATGCCGCGCATAGATGGCGTAGGGGGTGCAAAGGTTCTACGCCGTGAAAGGGTTGACTCGTGCGTGCGTTGTCGCTCAAGGTCGGCACCCGTTGTGTGACCAGGCGAAACTGGTGTGTGTGGCCGAGCATCACCAGACGTGCGCTGTGCGTCCGGTTCTTCTGAAATTTCAGTCGAAGACGCAGGCACATCGTAGGGCAGTGGAATGTCACGCGACGCACGGAAGCGACCGACGTTGGTGCAATGCTCGTTTTCAACGCGGAAGAGCGTCCACATGGCACGGCGGAGGATCTCGGATAACGAGACGATGAATGACAGAATGGCGGAGTGCTGGACGTCGTTCGCATAGATAGCATAGAATATCCAGTTGAACCGCAGGATGGGGTCGAGGATGATAGCAGCGTAATACATCCAGACTTGTTTATAGCCGAGAGAATCACGCAAAAAAGGCCTGTTTGCGTAAGGGTTCATCAAGCTCCAATCCATTACAAGGTCCCAAATGCCTATCATGTGTTAGCAAATGTCGTAAACATGCTTCCGAGGGTATACGTACTGCAATAAATTGCATTCACAGTGGCACAAAAGATGAAAAAGGCCCTCAGCTTCCACGTTTTGTCCAGGCGGTACAAGCTTAGACTCATGTAGTAAAGGATCGTCCACGTGTACTTGCCGCAGTTGACGAGATGAGGGAAGAAGTTGCGCGTATCATAGTAACGTCGCAGGCACTGTAAGGCACGCCAAATGCCTGGCAGGCAAGATAGGAAGCCCAAAACCCGAGAATGCGAAGAATTGCATTGGACAGGGTCGTCCCAATTCCGAGAATAAAGACAGAAGAACAACTCGATATTCTGCCAAACAATAAGCATTTCTCCAGCAATTACAAGGTTGATTGAAACTTACACCCATGGCATACGTTAGAGAACAGAACATATCGCCAAGAAAGAAATCGCGGAACTCGACTGGGTATAGACCGGCTAGTAAAAGACGCCACTGTGGAATGTTAGCAGTTAAACTTGACGGGAGTCTTCTAGAACGTACATTCGAATACAAAAACCACCGGCGACTGCGGTGGTACAGAAGCGGTAATGGCAGAAAAATTAAGATGACTGTGATGCCGATTAGGAGAACCGGATAGTATATGTACATGGCATCACCGCCAAAGTGACTGAAGTTGAGCCACACAAACAACCCTTCGAGCAGGAGGAAGAAACATGGAAGCTGCAAATTCGTCAGTAGTGGTCATCGCTTTCAACTCGGTCGATCCACTTACTTCTGCCAACTGCCTCCAATCGAGTTGGGTGCGGGTATCAAACTCAAAGACAAAGCCGTAGTTGATCTTCTGAGAGGCCCAAATTCGACAATCCAAGCAAAACAAGAGAAAGAGTAGCAGCATAAGGAAGTAGCCGCCGTATATCTGCAACAAATAACTTGTCCCTATTGCCATTGTAGGATCATCCCCCAAGAGGTATTTTGAAGAGTAGACTAGTCCTTCCACGCCAAAGACTACGCCGGTAGCGACCATCAATCCATTACGGAATGTGGACCCGGTAAAGTCTCCAGCCCTGGCAGACTTCACCCTTAACTTTCCAACAGCGATCTTGTGGTTGCCCCGCTCAAAATATCTCGCGTAGAGATCTTCAACAGTGCGGATGTGACCGTCGATAACGTCACTCTGAACGAACCAAGCGCTGTTCACTTTCTCGCTCATATAACGCATAGTCGGCCTAGCATTGACGGTTTTGTCGTATTTCTTGTTGATTTTGCGAAATGCAGTGCGGTTCAACAGGGCATATGACTTGAGAAGTTCCAGACCACGGTAGTACTCCTGCAAGGCGACCTTGAGCTTGCGCTTGGCGGTTCGATACGGAACGGTTGAGGGATCCGGTCGACGAACATAGTCGCGGTTTTGGTCATACGGGACGGGCCCGCTCGGAGTTCCAAGTTCTTGCATGGCCTTACTGTTTTTTCCGGCATTCCTGTGTCTCGCAAATCCTCTGGCAGCATCCGGGAGTTTCTTTGCCGCTTCCAAAGCTTCGTCGAGAGGCTTCAGCCATGATTTGCTTCCATTTGCTTCTGGAGTTTCTTCCTCGAGTACGTCCTCAAGTAGGCCATTCTCGATAGCTTTCCGATGCTTCGACTTCAGTTTCGATGACTGCGAAATAATCTCGTCTAGACGACGATCTCGCATTATGTGGAGCTGCTCCCGCAAGACGTTGAGCCGCTTGGTGGATTCATCTTCCCTTTCTTTATAAAACTCTTCAATCTTTGCCAGCTGTTGGTCGAGAAAATTAAAGAAATCGGATTGCCTAACATCCACCTCCCGATAGGCTTCAAGAGGAACATCTGTCTCTGCTAAAGTCTGCGGTAACCCACCAGATCCTACCGACAGCATTCTTTTGAGGGAAGGGCGAGTTCCCTCAGCGTCCGGCATGGAGTTGACCCGTTTCGGCTGAAAAATGCTTCTGTATTTGGATGGCAGTATACTCCTACGCGGAGGAGTAGGCGAGGTTGTCTTCCCCACTTCGAAGGCATTGCCGGATTTAGGTGATGCTTCAAAATGGGGGTGCTTGACTGATGGCGGGGACGTCGTCAGGGTGTCTTTTGTAGCCTGTCGAGACGTGGGCTTTGCATTTTCGGGCCCCACAGCCGGCTCTGGCAGTTCGAGAGTAGGCAAGCTTCCCCTCGACGACCTTTTAGGTGGTGAGGCGAGGATACTCCCATATCTTGTCAAGTGCGGCATCTGTCCATCCTCGTTCCTCTTGAGTAGCGCATCACGCGCATCACTCGGGCCTGGAATGTCACGCGGAGGAGTGACAGGCCCATCGCCATCTTCTCTTGATCGCCTGCTCGAACCGGTATCCCTGGAGAGCACAGTATGCCGCAAGTCCTGCGCACCGCCATCACCTATGGTATGCCGTCCTAAGTGTGGCCGGTTCAAGAAGGAATACGTGGGAGCTGAGGTGTTGGGCGACGGGGTGAAAGGGTTGGGTCCTCTCTTTCGAAGCGTTCGCGGGGTTTGGTCTACATTGCGCAGAGCGCGAGAAATGGCCTTGAGCTTCTTCTTTCCTAACTGTTAGAGCGCACGGTATTAGCGGAACGTTTCACATTTCACACAGCCGCGTCGCCGCCAAGGTAGCTCACTTTGTAGTCAAGATACTTGGCTCTCCATTCAGGAACGAGCTCATGCTCGATCTCCCTAACCTTGTCGTCAGTCGGCGTCGATCAAAAAGTAGCGGAGTCGGTGGGGACAAACTTCGCGAATTTCATTCCCCTCTAAACTTTATTTTTCAATTGAAGAAAAGACCTGGTCCGAGAACTTGCCCGTCAACAAGCATGCTGGACTTTTGGACGTATTTATTGCGACCGGGCGAAGGAGTGTGCCTCAGTTCGCTGGCACGAGGGCAGCCAAGAAGGCGGTCTCCGACTGAGCAGCGGCAAGGTCCACGCGAGCTTCTCCCGAGGGCGGTGAGGTCACTTCCAAGCCGGGGCTTGCGCTGCACGTGGAGACGGTGCAGCACGCATATCCATTGGCCTGATGAAGTACACAAACGACCTGTGTTTCAAGACAACCCATCAGATAGGAATGAAGGGTTGTACTCCTACGACAGTGCCGTCCGCCCTGCTTTTGTCCTAACAACCTAACAGGTCCACACCAGTCGGCGGCTAATTCACGGGATTTCCCAGATTGACGGTAAGGATTGGCGGTGATCACCAGGCCCCGTCCACGTCAGCCAGTTGCGGGGACTCCTGAATGTCGTCGACCTGGAGTTTCCATAACCTCGGAAACCGTCCCATGACCGCTGCGAACGCCGTTGTCTACCATGTACTACGTACGGGTTTGCATGTATGTATGGGCACTTGCTGCAGTATGCACGGCGAAGCTGATCTCAACACAACAGACCCTGTCCCTAATCTGTGGGGTCAAGCTTGGCTTTGTTTGTGCAACCTGAACAGAACATACGACATCATCACAAGCAGGAACCTGAACGGTTGTGGTCATTTAACTTTGTTCAATTGTGGAACTTTGCTCATAATAGCGAGCCTTGCCATCCTAGCTATCTACTGATGGAGGTCGCTTCCTTCATTCCAGTCGTCATTGGGTATTTACCAGCCGCCGAACTTGTTGTTGAGGTGCTCAGGGGCATCCCTCTCGGGGTTGTACTCGTCGTGCTCGCCGTAGTGAGACTCGTAGAGGTGCTCGGCGTTCTTCTTGGCCTCGTGCTTGGCACGCTCGCGGTCGACGAAGTCCTCGCCCTTGGTCTCGGCAAGCTTGTCAACCTCGGCGGCAGCGAAGCCAGCGAGGAGCTCCTTAGCGAAGGCGTGCTCAACGGGCTTGCCTATCGTAATATTAGTCTCGATACTAGTGAAATAAGGCGCGACGGGAGCTACGTACCCTGCTTGCGCTGGTGGTCCTCGAAGGCCTTGAAGCCGGCGAAGGCAGCACCGCCAGCAACCAGCTCGTGGCTCAGGCTGGACTCGTTCTTCTCGTAGACCTGCTCGTAGGCATCGTGAGACTCGCCTAGATAGGATGGTTAGCATCACACTGATGTCTCGATGATGGCGTGCGAAGCTTTGAGCTAGCCGCGTTGAGAAGAGAGGGGTAGCTTACCCCAACCGAAAGGCATTTTGATTGATATGAGGTGGTAAAAAGGTGGGAAAAGATAGAAGTGGTTTGGAGGTGGATTGAGGAGTTGCTGGAGAGTTGATTGAGGATGATGGATTGCAACGGCAGATGGACAGCATTATATACCCTTCTTCAAGCACCCCTCTCGGGCAGCTTGGTCAACCACGGAAGCTAGCATGTGCCGTCATCCCACCTGTCTCAACTCGTACATACGTAACCCATTGAGTAGCGCGGGGCTGTGGCCGAATCGTTCCAGTCGCTGAGGGGCCCACCAGCCTGGCGCCGACGAGTGAGAATCGAGCACGATCAAGGTACCTGACAGATCGGGACGTCGGCTGGCGGGGCACTGCCGCACCAGAGGCGCACTGAGCAGCAGTCCGTTTCCAGCCCATGATGGCGCAACGACTCAGGCACGTCAGGGTCTCGAATCGAGTTGAGGGGCAGATCCGTCTTGTTTCGACGGCACGCCTTGTACGTAGTTTGTAATGATGGCAATACACCCAACACCTGCCAGCCGGTTTTCGGCACCATGTATTGACGTAAATGGCAGGGCGTAGGTGCTAGAGGTGATCAGGGTGCGGTGGTGTGGGAGCCGAGAGGGGCTCAAGCTTCTCCAAGACGGCTTCTAGAAACTTGGCACTGCGGAATCCCACTTGGCTGTCTTGGCACTTGGCGATACTCGATACGAAACGCGAAACGCTACATTACGCATCCTCTCCACGTGGAATCGTATCTGCATGAACAGCGAAGCTCTGAGCTACGTTGTGTCGCCCGCGATGCCGAAACGTCTACCCACAGTAACTGACTTCCCCTCCACAATAACCCTCAGCATCACCCCTCGTAAGCCCCACCCCTCGAGCCCTGAGGACCCTCGACCACACCGCCGCAGAGCCGGTCCAGCCGGTCCATTGGAAGGCTGTGCTGAAGCTAGCTAGCTAACAGCTTCCCGTGCCCCAGCTCCTAGCTCCCAATCGGCTGCCAATGTCCTCGTCCTGTTACACGGCCTCGGCGACACCGAAGCTCCCTTCAGCAATCTCGGCCGCCAATTGAACCTCCCCGAAACCGCTTGCGTCTCCGTTCGCGCGCCGAAGCCGCTGCCCTTCGACCTTGGTGGTTTCCATTGGGGTGATGATATGCTCTTCGACGAGGGCACGGGCGAGATGGAGGTCGACACCGGTTTCAAGTCATCTACCCGCATGCTCCTCGACAACGTCATACGCGAGACATTGATGGACAAATGTGGCTATCGAGGGCGGGAGATCCTGCTCTTTGGCTTTGCCCAAGGTGCCATGGCTGCTCTCAATGTGGCCGCGGAGATGGGCAACGAGGAGCTCGGTGGTGTGGTGAGCATTGGGGGAGCTCTGTCTTCCTCCGCGCCGCTGCAACCCATTGACAGGAAATGTCGGACACCGGTCATCGTCTGCAAGGCCGCGAAGAATTCCGCTGTCACGGATAGTAACACCAAGAGGATGAAGGATACTTTCGAACACGTGGAGGTCAAAGAATGGAAGAAGGCCAGAGACGGCATGCCCAGCAACCGGGACGAGATGATGCCTATCATGCAGTTCTTCGCCAGCAGACTGCGGGCTGCAGGCCCACAGGGTAGTTTAGAGCTGACGTGAACACAGTGCCGCTTCCAATTAGTGAGGCTTGCCCGAGATACTAGTAGCGTCCCAAACACTTTTGGAGTGTCTCCGGTATGCTGTTGCAGCATTGCAGGCAATGTTTGCCATTACCGCCAAGATTAAATTGAGCTTCTTGAACGACTTCACAACACTCGATGTACGGAGGCATAGTGCCATGGTCACAAGTTGTGGACACATCAGCGGAATTCGGCGCCTGTGCCTCGGACCACCGAGTCATCTATCGCCATTGCATACGAACGCGCATCCATACGCGCATCCATACGCGCAATATTTGTGGGAAATTGCGAAGAGGACACCTAATATGACAACAGTACAGGGGAAGTCGGGCGAGTCACGCCTCAGTACCATGCTGTATCTTGATCGTCCGGTTCATGAGTGCCCGTCCTCCTGTGTACCAGATGGCTCAAAACACATGGCATATCAGGATCAAGACAGGAAGTTGTGCGAAACAGGCCTTCAACGGCCGTTCTCGGCCTGCACAGCAATAGCCGTTAACTCCAGGGACATGCTCTCAAACTTTGTGATCGATGCGTTGATAATTACGATATGCATGTCAAACCCAGCAATGCCCTTCTAGGTTTTCCTCGGAGTTCTGTACCCAATCAAAAGAGATGTTCGCGTTTAACGAAGGATTGCTCTAGAACTGGTAGCTGCAGTCGCAGACAAAACTTGGTTCTTCGTGTAGCAGTAGGTACAAGAGCTTGGTGCACTGCGCTAAGGCACCTCCAATGGATGTGCAGCTGCGACTAAGCTAGCGTGCCCCGGTATTGGGGTGAATAATGCGGTGAAAGGCACTCACAATAACTTTATTTGAACCTCTCCCCAATCCACAGTCTTTATTCGCCGCAAGACACTGGCATGAAAAACCTGAATATTGTAGTACCAGCGAGGCGCACTCAAGTGAGGTGCTACGACGGCATACTGCAGCGCGTACCTCGTCGCGATGCGGCGGTCGCATGTACGGAGCCTTTGATTGGCGAGGTTCCCTATCGTCTACCACGTACTTGTCTTTTTTCTTTTTGCCTTCCTTGTTCGTTCTCCCGAGGCGTCTTCTCAACAGTTTGGACGAAACGTGGTACAGATGTAGGCAACATTGGCCACCTCAGCCTCTCGCGCTTCATTGAGTCATCTTATTTCACTGCTTTCTGCTCTGTATCACTTAATTGTGGACAAAGGCATGGTCTCCATGTACGCTCGAAGTAACGAGGCTTCTCATCCATTTATCGAGCCTCGCTTGTCGCGTTCCGGGACTCTAAACCTAGACGGTCAACCGTACTCATGCGGTTTCTATTGGCTAAATCCTGTCAATGTTACGCCACTGCCTCGCATACTGTACGATTCTTCATGAGGCTGAGAGCTCACATGGTCGCTTATCAGTTCGACTTGGGCTGAGTCTTAGCTGGCAGTCTGGTGGCTGGCACGCTGGGTGACGTATCTTGCCTCGGCAGAATAACTTTGGCACTCAGCCTCGTTTGCGGGCGGGCAGGTCAGCAAGATAGAGGGGCCTCCTGCCCCCAGGCCTGGGCCCGAGATTACTTTTGTCTCTTTCCTCGCGCGAGCGCAGTTTGTTTCATCGACAACCAAAGCATACCTCCGTCTGGCCTGCCATGCCGTCCCTATACCGGGCCGTCCGAACACGCGTAAGATCATTCTGACAACATCGAAGGCTATCATGAACCTTGTTTCTGCGAACCCGCAAGTGCATGATGACGAAAGGACGACTGCGAGGGTTCTTCGGATCACGATCAATCCCGATACATGAGTTGGGCACATCGAAGGAGATAGAACCGGAAAAGGATGGCAAAGTTCTTCCCTTTGAGGGAAGACCGGAGAAGCTCGGGGACAAAAATGGTGGTACCTATGTGAACAAGGTGGTGGTCTCACGCAAAGCGTTGAAATACAAGAATGGAACTACGAACCGCGGAGTAGGTTATTCCTCCACCAATGATCACTGTTATGCTCACAGATGCAGAATGAACAGATGGCAATCAAAGTCTTTCCCCCAGAGTACCATCCATCCTTCCATAAAGAAAGACTCAACCTTATTTTGCTCAAGGGAAGCTCGGTTCCACCTGAAAGCATACAATTATGCTTTGGTACGGTCCTCGCAAACAGCAGAGGTTATATTATTTCAGAACTCGCAACTTGCGACCTCCGGCACATACTGGTTGGCGAATATATTTTTACTTCGCCAAGGGTGCCTCCTATGCTGCTTCTCAACGAGGCACACTCGATCGCCAATGGACTCGAATGGCTCCACCGAGACCTTGTAGGTGATGGTGGACAACTGATGACAGGCATCCACATGGATCTGAAACCCACAAATATATTGGTATTCTGAGCCGAGAATGAGAGACGTTTCTGGAAATGGAAAATCACCGATTTTGGAGAGAGTTCTATTGGCTTTCATGAGAAAGTGCGTGAACCAAACAACGAGTTGGTGGACAAAACAGAACCCCGTGTGCCTGCTGGCGAGTACCAGCCTCCAGAATCCAGAGCACAAAACTCTATGGTCGGCTGCTCCGTTGATATATGGTCACTCGGTTGCATTCTCTTCGACCTTCTGGGATTTTCTTGCAATGGCCCCGAGGGCTTCAAAGAGGTACAGAAGTATCGTAACAAGGACAAGTCCAAGCCCAACGGGTTTTTTGAAAGGGCAGAAGAAGGTGACATCATAAAGAAGGGCTTGATTGACCTGATCGATCGATGGGACAACTCTAATCGGCCTTGGGTCATACCTTGGAAGAACATAGTTCTAAAAACCCTCCAAATCCCTCCACACGAGCGGCCCAAGGCCTCAGAAGTTGCATCGGATCTGAAAAACGACCTTATCAGGAAGCTACCTGGGCTACCTGGAGACCATCATATACAGCTGGGGGCCGACGAACAACTGAGACCAAGACAGGAGGTTGGATCGCCCCAGATATATACATCTGTCTTTGTAGACAATGTTCCGAAACATCTAAAAAAGGCTAAGGTCTCTGTGTGTGGGCAGTGGGCCCTTCTACAGGGAGAGAATTCGGTTCTGCCCCTGCGGATGGACGACCTGCAATTTGGACAATCCAAGCACCAGCTTCCACAAATTCATGAAGAAACATCACACAAAGTCCAGGCAACTGCTGCGTCAGGCTCATTCTACGCTATCCTATATAATCTGCATCACGATCCTTCTCGATTGCAGGTAAGCAAAACACACCCCAGTTTTGTTTCAGAAGTGTAATGCTCATTTAAACACAGGTAACACTTTATGGCCCCAAGGGTGATTTTGAGAAGCACATCTATAATGGCTACCCTTGCTCGGGGCTCTCAGTTTCGTCAAGTGGTGACTTTCTTATCCACCTAGATGACAATGAACTTGTTCTGCACCTACATGGGGCTGCCACGTATGTATTTTATTTTTCTCCGCCTCGAATTTTGTATACATCTTGATACCAACACCTCCATAGTAGCTCTATAAAGACCATACACATTGAAGAGCATAGAATAGCTGCGGCTTTCAGCCCTGATGGAGATGATATCTATGTGTGGTCCAGAGGAGGAGACAATGTCACTGACTACTGGCACGTTTTCAACAAGAACGAACTTGAAGATCGTGATGGCGGGTCACAAGGCTTGGTCTGCTCTTCTAAATCCGTAAGCGCATCACGTAGTTATATGACACTATAATTCGCTAACTATTGTCAGATTCAAAGCACCGCCACTCCCGGTCAGTCGAGAGATATACTCGTCCCGTTTAAACGACAATCGAACCCAGTTGAGCTATGTCCGCTCTTCTTCGCCGTCGACAGCCATGGAAACGCGTCCGTTATCGTGGAAAACTTTAAAACGAAACCTAACGGGCTCAAACGGATAAGAATCTTCAACAAGGCCAGCGAGAGCGGAAAGCTGCAAGGCATAATTCACGGTTGTGCTCCACCCGAAGGAAGTCCCGTTGTCCTTATCCGCGATGGCCAGAGTAGCAAATTCGCCTTCGTATGTTTCAACTTGGCCGAAGACCTGGCTGACCTGGGACGGAAATCGTCATTGCCAGGATATTTGGAAGCGAGTGTTACAGGACTTCACGATGCCTCGATACTTGCTGATTACTCTCCGGCCTCCAGCGATTTTACACTGTGCTCTGGACCCTCTGGATCCTCTGGACTATGGGCGTATGTTGCTCGTTGCACTAAAGGAGGCAAAGCTGCTGAGGTGCGAAAGGCTATTATTAAGTCTAACTGAAGAGGCCGAGACAAATTGTTTGGCTAAAAGTATCAAACACCCGAGCTAGAAGCCTTCTTCATGCGCTTCCTTTTCTCTCTTCTGGTAGCTACCCACCATAGTAGGACAGTCACCATCGTCAGAGGAATGGTTACAATGATATAGACCCAAAAGTCTTTGGTAACGTTCAGCCTTTTCCTCGGCCCATCGAAGTCGAAGACGTTCATACCGAGAAGAGACTGTCCGTTCACAATGGTTAGTATATGACTTGAAATGATAAGAAGCAGTTCGTACTGACCGCAACAAAACTTCCAGGAAGATACAACAAAGTCGCCAGTGTGACCACTCTGACCACGGCACTGTCATCTACGCTGTCCAGCGTAAGCTTGTAAACGCTCTGGCTGATACCAGTCGCTATCCTCTGGTTATTTGCAGCTATCTTTTGGCTCACTGCTGCTGCGGCTTGATTGCGAAGGTTCAAAGCATCGGTAACCTGGCACAACTGAGTGATTGAAATGCAGACGGAACGCCAATGACTCACCAGCTTCATGAGACTTGTTATTCTCCTTGCTAGAGCGCTTACGGAGTCCTGGTATCCGTTGAGGCGGATGAGGATAGACTCCAAAGAGCTTGCCGTCGAAGCATGCTCGGACCCGTCATACAGGCCCTCGGCGAGCAAGTCATTGTTTGCCCTGATCAGCTTCTCGACTAAAGTTTGCGTTGTCTTCAGCATCACAAGGACCTGCTGGACCCTTTCTTCAAGAGCACGAAGTTTCAGCATAGTAGCAAAGTTGAGGGTCTGGTTGAAGTCTTCATCGTCTTCGAAATCCACGGTCGATATTGCTTTGCGCTGGGCATGTTCAGCAAGTGTCCGTCCAACTCGGCAGATCCACTTACTTGATCTTGGTATCTCTTCCCAAGATGTGCCAGGACGGCCCGCCAATTGTCGACATAAGTGCACACGAGCACTATATGCAGACGCAATGGGTTCCGCTGCATTCGACTCCATCGAGTGGCATCTACAGTCTCAGCATACAGCCGCTGCTCACCCTTCGAGCACTCCATCGGATGGAAGACCAGACAAGAGCTTTGGATTTCATCCTGAGTTGAGGAGAATCTGTGATAGACTTCCGTATTGCGGAAAGACCAGGGAAAACCTTGATGGTGCGTATTCGCCTCGGCATACTTCAGTTGATATGCAATATCTAACTTTTATTAACAGATGTACAGAACACGGAGTTTCGAGAACGCACCGAAGCTGCGTTTTCCTTCGCTTGGGACCGATTTATTGTAGAAGGTGTTTCCGTACGCCTCCTCTGATACTCGGCCTTCACTGTGTATCCCAAGCAGGACGTCCAGGAATATAGACGATATATCGAAGGTCGACCAAAGTTTTTGCAGGCAGGCAGCCGTGATAGAAAACGGTGCTAAGGAGTTTTCTTGGCAAATGGATCTACCACGAGGTGTTAATTTCGGCACCTTCATGAAAGAGAGCATCTTCTGACATGATTTCGAACTGACGACCGTGTGGTTTGGCAGCTTTGGCTTCGAGATAGGCGTGCACGGAGACTTCGTCAGTGAGGATTGATTCCTGTGGTGCACCATCTAATGCTGGAAAACCATGAGCGGCAGGCTTAAAATTGCTCTCTCAGACCTACCGGATGATTCTAGTGCCTTCACGCGTGTTTTCGCAGAGCACATGGTTTTCAACAGCTCCTCCCATTGTTCTTTGCAAGCAAGGTCATCGATTCCAACGATGGCAGTATCTCTAGATAGGTCGAAGGGGCTTTCTTGCGGTATACTGGGGTTGTTTGGTGATAAATCGGAGTCATGAAGCATCAGTGACGATTTTTCTGGGTCGAGATTGGAATCCATTATGTACAAGTTTTGCGAGTAGAAAAAAATTGAATTGGCAAGACAAAGAAGTTGCTGAAATGATTCTATATACCAAATCGCAAGTTCCACAGAGCTATCTCATATCCAGTGATTTTCGGCTCCATGCACAAAAAACCAAGACGGGGCGTCGCATACGGGCTGATCAGCCCCGCACTGCCGCACCGGTGTGGCCGAGCGGCATTCTTCAAGGCGGGCTGGGGCATGCGACCGCGACAAGCTGATATTAACCATTGGAGAAAGTCACTTTGTCAACCTTTTTGATGGTCCTAACTCGTCTGTCAGTACGAACGCAGCGCCTTGGGTGCTCAGTGACAGCCTCACGCTATCTCGCTCTGTAGCACCTTTCCTGATTAGCCGAGAGGGCAGCAGCAAGCGTTAAAAGGGCAATAACTCACGGCAGCTAGTTCAGCGGGGGCATAGTACGACCAGAAGACTTGGCAGCCATCGTCTGTTTTCTGCAGGCACGCACGCAATCAAGATGCTGGCCCAACACGCAGCGAAACGACAGTGCCCACGGAAGGCGCGCGTACCCTGACTTTGAAATCCAGACCCGTGCCATGGATGCGTCTGAGCAGATTTCTCAGGTCCTGCTCTTTGATGTAACTGGACACGCGCTCGTCGAGGGCAAACTTCTGCATGCTTGTGGGGGCTGTGCCGGGCGCCGTCCAGGTGCGCCTTGATCAGATGTCAGAGCTGAGGAAGGCTGGCGCGCGCGCCCTTATCTTGTTTCGCGCTTGCGCGTGCGCAGCCGCTCCGAAGCCGCCTGCTTGAGCCTCATGCGCTCGAATCGGCGATGTGCGTCGTGGCTTCGTTGCCTCGTTTGCCTTGTATGCCCTTCAGTATTGAAAGGCGGTAGGCTGGTGCCTTGGCGTGCTACCATAGGGCCAGCTATCGCGAGGATTGTTCTGTCATGAGCCTTGCGCTGGCGGCTTGGGCTATTTCATTCGCACTCGTGCCCGATTCTACTTGTCTGCCTTCGTCGTGGCTCCTCGAATATGGCCTGGAAACTCTTTCCTGACCTACAGGCTCTCTCGCAGCAGATGTCGAATGGAACATCCAATCGGCGTCCTGCACCTACGTCACTGAGGTATGTATGGCTCAGCCTACTCTATAGGGCATCCAGTTGTTATACTGCCTTGACAGAATTAACTGACACTGCCGTGTTGCTAGGCGTGACCTTGGGCCATGGCAGATTTTCGTCAGTCCACAACCAGAGCCTCCGTACTAAGACCATAGCTCATGACTGGCCTCAGATGATCGTCATAAGCGCCACCGTTGGTGTAGGCTTCTTCGTGAGCTCTGGAGAGATCCTGGCGTTCGCGGGGCCTGGCACAGTGTTGGTGGCCTTTGCATGCGTCGGCATCGTTGCGTTCATGGTCATGGAGGGAGTCAGCGAGATGGTCATGGTCTGGCCGGTGCCAAACCCCATGGTCCAGTTCGTTAGGCACTTTGTTGACCGGGACCTTGCCATTGTCGTGTGCGTGGCTTATTGGTAAATCTATCGTTAGAATGATGCTGCAAGTTGGTTTCCCACTGACAAGGGGATTAATCCAGGTATACATATGCCATTAGCATGTCAGCCGTTATTGCTACATCTGGCGTCTTGATCGAGTATTGGAGCTCGGAGAACGTTAGCCGCGCTTTAGTCTACCTGCTCTTCCCGGTCATCATTCTACTTATAAACCTCAACAGTGTTAAGGTTTTCGGGTTTGTCGAGCTTGTCGGTGGATACATAAAGCTTATAATCGTTGCTATATTGTTCTTCAGCATGATCGTTTATAATCTTGGAGGTAAGAATCATAACAGAGTCTATTATCCTGATGACCGTACTGACCTTGTCAAGGCGGACCCAAACCAGCCATCCATTCTAAATGTAAGTAAATAAATCTTCATCCCCAGCACCGCAATTGTCATGCTCTCTTCTAATCGTGTGGATCCTCATAGGCATCAAGGACGGCTTTCAAAGCAATGATGCCGTTGCATCCACAAGGGGCACAGCAGCAGTGTAAGTCAAAACCTACCTTACCATTAGAACAATTCCTGATTGTTCCGGACAGTCTTGCAATCAGCATTGCAGTGTATCCCTACATTGGAATTGAAGGCATAACAATGACAGCCTTCGAAGCAAGAGACACCAAAGCACTCAAGCGACCCGCAAGGCTCATCACCATCATCGTAACAATCACGTACCTCCTAAGCGTGCTCGGCTTCGTCCTCAACGTCAACTGGACCAACCCCTACCTCCCACGCTACTACAACCAATGGGACCCATGGAAAAACCCCGAATTCAACTGCACAGGCACAGTCACAACCCCACATCTCACACGCAGCACCAACGAGGCAAACCGCAACCACGAGCGCCCAGGGCTAGGCAGCAGCTCGGTCAGCTCGAACCACACGCTCCCAATCATCGCCATCGAGCAAACCGGGCAAAAGCACTACGCCGACTTCATCAACGGCTGCCTGCTGTACAGCGCGCTCAGCACAGCCAACACGGCCCTCTTCATCGCGTCGCGCACGCTGTACGGGCTGGGCCAGAGCGCGCAGCAGGACAGTCCCAGCGCGCTGGTGCGCTTCGTGGCGCGCTTCGGGCGCGTCGACCGCGAGGGCGTCCCGCAGTGGGCTGTGTGGGGGTCGTTTGTCTTCGCGTGGGTCCCGCTGCTGTCGTTTGGCTCCGAGAGCGGCGCCCAGCGCGTCCAGCAGGTCCTGACGTATATCGGCTCCACCAGCTGTGTTCTCGTTTGGGCGCCGCAGAGTTGGGCTTATATTCGCTATCATAAGTGGTTGGATAACCATCGCGATCGCTTGAAGGGCCCGAGGTATGGTGTCTACGATCCGCTGCTGAGGGCGCAGTATTCTGGCTTGTTAAGGTCTTGGCAGCCTGCTATTGCGTGGTTCTCGATGCTGGCGTGCATCATTATCGTCCTTGGGTTTGCTGGGGCAGGGATGGCGAAGAAGAAGGAGATTCTCTTGAAAGCGCTGGACATCTATCTCGGGCCCGGTCTTTGTTTTGTTCTTTTCTTGGTCCTGAAATTCCTTAGGTGGCGTTCGCGAATCGATGGCTCCGGATGGGTCAAGCTGGGTGACTGGGAAGAGCTCAAGGAGGAGCTTGATCATCTGACGAGTTTGGTTTACCCGGAACTTAATGTCGAGGGGGACCAACGCCGCACTGCCGTCAATACAGAAGGGGGTGTACGCGACGGCCTTGAGCTTCAAGCAGCCCAGCATCACTCTTATGATACTTCGGATACTGAAACAGACGCGCCGAATGGACATGCGCAGATACCGAATCATCACCCTACAGTCCGCTCAGAGCTTCAACCCGGTGAGGCTTTAGCGAAAGATGGAAGCGTGTAATGGGAGAGAACCAGAGGAAAAGAAAGGGGAGGTACGGTTCAGATTAAACGAGGATACGGACGGTATGAAAGCGGAAGAAGTGTGTTTGCCTTGTTCGAGCCAGGCTCCATGAAAAGTTAGGGAAATTTTCAAACCTACTTGGGACCACACGGTGCCCACATCTTCTCCTTCACTTATTCCGCGTCTCTCTCTACCCACACTCTATCCTCATGACGACGCCTTTTCTTTCGTCATAACAAACCCAAAATACTCAAACATGCCCCCGCCACCAGGCTCGTTCGCCAGCGTCTCCGCCTCCAGCGTCCACACGCCCGGCCGTTGCAGCAGAGGCTTAATGAAGTGCGGCTGCCGCCACGTGATATACAGCCACTTGCAACCAGGCTTGAGCACGCGGGCGACCTTGACGAGCACAGGTCAGCACCACGCTCAGACACACACTCTCTCTCTCCCAGTCCCAAACCGAGACATTTTCAAGGACAGTACGAAAGCAAAGGCAAAACCGCACTCACCTCGTCCACATACGCCTTGACATTCGCGCGAACCTCGTCGGGCGGGTCCCACAGTGAGCCGTACAGCATAGCATCCAGCGTGGCCTTATCGACCGCGACATCGAAATGGTCAGCCGGGAACTTGAGGTCACGGACATCCATGACCAGCCACTGCATCTCGGGATGCTTAGCGCGCATGTCGGCGATGACGACGTCCGAGAAGTCGACGTTGGTCTGGTGCGTGTAGCCCACGTCGTACATGTCCTTGGACAGAGTCTTTTATCATGTGTCAGGGACCTTGTAAGCAAGAACAGAACAGAACGGGACGGGACGGCACACTACTCCTCCCTTCCCCGCAAAGCGTCACATACACTGTTCCCGCAGCCCAGCTGCACTAGCTTCGGCCCCTCGTGCGTCGGCGCTGGCAGGTGCTTTTCCAGGAACGGCCGCACCGTCGCGAACGTCCGCAGCCAGTCAAACTTCTCCTCTTGCTTCTCGGCGTACCGCTTGTCCCAGTACTGCGGGTGCGCCAGCTCCTCGAGCGACTCCTTGACCATGGCGGCGGCGGTGGCGGCGGCGGCGACGACGACGTGTCACTGGGGAGAGGTCGAAGACGACGTGGTTGCGTTAGGCGCGTGCCGAGGTAGTACGAATAAGGTAAGTATCTTGTGGGTTGAAAGCATTTCTCGCCAGCAGCCGAGGATACGCCGGCAGCGTGTACAGTCCAGCTGCTGGGTAGATAAACAAAAAGCTACGGTAATATTAGAATTTTAGATATCTAGAGAGAGATATGTTGATGATATAACATATTCTACGCTAGATATCTAACGTTATCTATAGAGACCTACTGTATTCGGTTAGCGAGATGTGAAAATAATAATTAAACGTCTATATATATAAATACGGGTGCAGGAGAGGAATACTCCCAAGAAGCCACCCCAACAAACATCCCTCGCACCTATTACAACACATACTAAACCAAATTACGCACCATCTCAATCACAGCAAACGCATTACGATTACCAAACCAACTACCTACGCTAACCAACTACCTACGCTAACCACTACCTACGCTAACTACTACACAGCACCCCCACCAACCAGCCGCACCTCTGCTACCTATAGCCTACGAAGACGCATCGCTCGCTAGTGCGGCCGGGCATGCACGTTACTGAGCCTAGGCGCTGAACCGAAGATGAAGAGAAAGTCACGGAATGGACGAGACAAAGGAAAGGTTGGGTGTATGGATGTGTGCGTGCATGCATGCATGTATTGGATGCTGTGGAGAGAGGAAAGAAGAGGAAGGAGAGCCGAGGGTCGGGGGAATAGGTATGAAGAAGAAGAAGAAGAAGAAGAAGAAGAAGAAGATGATGATGATGATGAAAAAGAATTAAGGAAAATAGAAGAAAGGAAACGAAAAAAAAAAAAAAAAAAAAAAAAAAAAAAAAAAAAAAAAAAAAAAAAAAAAAAAAAAAAAAAAAAAAAAAAAAAAAAAAAAAAAAAAAAAAAAAAAAAAAAGAAGAAAAAAAGCGCCCGACAAAAGAGTGTAACAGCCGTCCGCGCCTTGCCCGGCCATGGCAGTACGAAGTACTGCGCACAGATGCGCGCTCGTAGAGACTGGCAAGTGGGACAGAAGAGAAGAGAAGAGAACAGAACAGAACAGAAGCAAAGCAACTGCGCAACGAAGCAAACCGAGCACAACCGCCATCCAACACTCAACCCCACTCCTCTAGTCCCACAGCCGTGAGCCGAGTCTCAGAGTGACAGAGAATCAGACTCTCACCCCATCACGGTATCACCTGCCCGATCCCCACATCCCCACCAAGCCAAGCCAAGCAACCCTCCCGCGCCGCGCCCCACCTACGTCGTACACAGCACCACCATCACAACAATCATTAACAACAACAACAGCAACAACACCACCCCTCCCCCAACCACCCTAATCCGTATCTACTTCAAAAACCCCTGCGCATCATACAAGCTCCCCGGTGTCGCCTTGACATCGCTCGTAGGCGGCTGCACAAAAACCTGGACCTTGGGCGTAAGGACGCCGCGGCCCGTAGCGCGGCGCTTAGCGCGCTTCTCGGCCGGCGTCTCCAGCGCGCTCGTCGCTACTCCCAGAGAAGTACTGGAAGCGCTTTTGGCAGCCGCGGTGCCAACACCCCAGTTCCCAGCGGCCCGGTTCTCGGCGTCGCTGTCCAGGTCCCCGTCTACAAACACGTAGCTATGCTTCTTGGCGCTGGCGCTGGTGCTGCTGCTCTTGCTGCGGTGGTGGCTGTGGCGCGCCGCGTTTGCTTTTTTCTGGAAGGGCGTTTGTGGCTGGGAGGATGGGGCAGAGGGGGTTTGTGCGCGCGACTGCGGCTGGGACTGCGATTGCGACTGCGGGCGTGAGGTTGAGCGGCTGTTGTGGCGGCCGTGGCTGCGCTTGCGGACGTGGCTGCTTGTCTTGGACGACGAGGGGGCTGATGACGGCACCGCCGGGGGTGGAGCCGTTTGTTGAGCTAGCTTCGAGGTCGGCGTCTGCATGATCGAGGACGAGAGGTTGGGTTCTTTTTCTCTGTCTTGCTCTGTGCTGCCGAGGTTGTTAGTCCAGAAGCCGTGGTCCTCGCCTGTGACGCTGTCTCTGCCTTCGTCGTACTCTTTGCTGCCGAAAATGCTGGCGTGCCCCGTCATCGCCAGCTCTGCGAAACTCATGCAGCTTTCGTTGCCCAGCGCGATGCCGATACCTAGCCCGACGCCCTCGATCTCGTTGTTCGTGTTTGTGTCTTCGCGTTCTCGGACCTTGTTCTTTTCCCGTCCCATCATGAGATAGCGGCGGCTTGAGCGGCTGGAATCATTCGCGTCAGAGTTCATGCGCCGGAGCGCGGCGACGGTCTTGCGAACGTCACGCCGAGGCTTTGTGCGCAGACCCGTCAGAGCATACGGGCCGTCCATATCCCCAGACTTCGGAGTTTTGCTAATTGGGGAACGCGGAGACGTGGCACGAGGAGGTGAGGGATCTGGCCTAGGCCCTCGCGGTTTAAGCGGCGTACCGAAAAGAGACGAGTTGGGACGCAGGGTCTTCGGGGAGCAAGGAGGCGATACTTGAGTCGGGTCGAATGTATGGTCCGGATGGCGAGGAGGCGGCGATGGACAAGATCCCATCGGTTCCGGTAATGGACGTGGCTGGATTGATGAAGCAACTTCAAGAAAGGGATAGTAGAGTGTAGGGTTGTTAGGATCGTAGTCGAGTGACTTGTCAGACATCCGTACAGTGTCTGTAGATAACTTCTCGCTCCTCTCGTCTTCATGTGGTATAGCGAATGTAACCTGAGATGACATGGAGTCATGAACGGGGCTCGGAAATGTCGGGATGCTGAAGGCAGAACTTCCGCTTAAGGCCGAGTGCCGCCAGCTGCGTGGCGAGCCACCAGAAGCGTCTTGTCCGTAGTGGGTTAAAGAGAGAGTTGGTGAGCTCGCAGTCAGAGACCCTCGAAGGTTAGTAGGGTGTAAATGAATGTCCGGAGCAAATACTCCAGTGCTTGGCGGACGCGGTAGGGGGCGAACATCTAGGGAGATTAGGTTGTCCTCGGCATCTATCATAGATTGATTCCTGCTTGAACCGTCCGGCTCCTCTTGGATGTTGTGCATGGCAGCAAGACGTTCAGAACGCGAGGCTGGGCCCGAAACCGTTGAACTCAAAGACAATCTAATGCAATTCTGGCGGCGGTGGGTTTTCTTTTTGTCAGGACTCTTGCTTCCACCGGAAGGCTTCCCAACCTGCATAGGACTTTGATCCCACTGGAATGGGTTCCCTCCACTACTGCGCGAGGAAGATGCCTGGGTTGATGCCCGTGAAAGCTGGCAACTCGGACCGGTTGAACATTCAGGGGCATCTTTCCGTGTTGTGGATTTGCTGCGCTCTGTAGGGGATCCAAAATCATCGACTTGGCTACGCGACTGCCGCCGTGGTGTGCCGGACCGTTCGTGTTGACTGTTGCTCGAGAGAGGCCGTGCAGGGAGCCGGCTCACCCGAACGCTTTCGGCAGTCTTCACCTGTTCACTTGTGTTTGAGTTGATGCTGCTGTTATGTGAATGCGGGGTTTGCGTGTGGTCATCGACTCCAAATTGAGCAATGCTACTTCGTATCGAGTCTCCTCGGAAATGCTGAGGAATGGACTGACGTTGGACCTCTTGAACAGCGCTGATGGTACCAAGTGGGCGGATAGGGCGAGGGCCTAAAATGATTGTGTTTTCGAAATCACGAACGGGGCCATGCTTAAATAACACATGAGGGCTTCGCTTTGCCGCCGGGCTGGTCGTGATGAGGATGGAGCTGGTTGCAGATTCAAAGCTCGACGCTGACCGACGGGAAGGGCTATACTCCAGATTGTTGCTTACTGACCTAGAACGACCTGACCGGAGAGGAAGCGGAGGCACTGGATCATCTGGGGCCAATCCTGACAGTCGATAAGTGAAGCTTTTGGTCCGTGGCATATTCTGTGAGCCGTTTGCTTTATCGTGTTGAGTGGGTTCACTAGCCCCATAAACTGAAGGAACAGAGACTGATCGAACCCTCCTAGCTCCGTTGGGAGCGTTGTATATCCGATTCGTAGGGGCAGGGCTCCAGAAAAGAGGTGGAGGCTTCATGGACTTTGTGAGGTCTGGCGCCGATAGGGGCTGGTTTGATCGTTCTCCAGAAGGACACAAGCGCTCTATAGGGGACGCCTCAAATTCATTTTCTGGGAATGGTTTTGGAGAAGACGGTCGAGCACAAAACTCCTCTGCGATTGGCAGCCTTGGAGATTGAGTTCTATCCCCGCACAGCCGAGGACTCTCAATTATGGCAGAAAGACGAGCGTTCCGAACTTTTCCCATCTTGATATTGCTCGGAGCCGGCGAACGTCTAGAAAAGGACCAGCCCTTACGGGTTGCTGCGGGTTTAGACAGATTTGATGGTGCTGCAGCCCCAGGCGTTTGCGTGGGCATCTGTCCCCGACCAACAGATTCTCGGGAAGGCAATGTATTCCATCCTGCAGCGTTGGTACTGTAAGGTAGAAAGGTGTTTCTCCTGAGGACTGCCCGTGGTTTGGTTGGGTTCGAGCTATCAATTTCTTCGGTTTGTTGGCCGATCTTGATGCCTCTCTGCTCGAGGTCTGCTAGGAGCCGCTTATGTGCTTGTATGGCGCGACAGAGCAACAATGCCAGACTGATAGCCGCAATGACGATGATGCCAACGGCGACTCCGATGGCGATCCATACTCCAACATCGATGTTGTGAGCAGCAGATGCCGCCTGCCGAATACCGAGATGGTCAGACATGAGCAGATGGCGGCGCTGGCGAAATCCAAGTGGGATACGTAAGAGGTAGTTTGGCTGTTTCGCTGACCAGGCTGCGTGGCGACCAAACGACCTAGTCCATCAAACTTTGGCCTCTGCTAGATCCGGGGATTGGGCTTGTCGACGCGCTCGATTGACGGTATTCCGCGCCAGCTAGCTGCACAGCGGCCTCCGATCTGACGGGAAGAAAGAGATTCTCGGATTGGACATGGAGATGGAAGGGATGCGAACGGGAAAGCAGGGGAGGATATGTGGTGTGGGATTGTCTCTGGTGTGGCATGTGGTGTCCACAAACAAGCGCTCAGGAATGCACACGAGATACCAACGACGACAATAGGTCACGAAAGCAAGGGATGGAGTGTTGAATAGAAAATGAAGGCTGGGAAAAAAATGTTGCCTACCTATAAGGAGCGCCCAGAGGGTGCAGCTACAAAGGCAATCTCCTCCTCCTACCCACCTAGCTACCTGGTGGTGTTGAAGGCGAGGCACGAGGAGGTGCTTGGGCCGAGCACCCCGCCAAACATCTGAAACCCCGCACACCATAGGCCCGAGTGCAATGTGCAATGTGCTACAGGCGGTGGGTGGCATGTTTGTTAGTTGCGGCAATCGCTACCGTCGGTGGGCTGAGTTGTCCAGTGGTCCGTTGGAGTGTTTGCGGAGGACACAATAACCGCCATGCAGCCATGGGGCCACATATACCAAACTGCCATGGGCATGACCTAGGCCACGGATAGGCCTTCTCGCTTCGGGGGTGAGTCCGTCGACGCCGTCACAGGCCACGCGTGTGTCATTCGACGCAAACAGTGGGGCGGGTTTGCTGGTGAAGTCACCGGTGTGCAGAGTCTCGATCGATTGAACAGGTGGAGCAGGGGCGTAGCAGGTGAAGGGCCTGGGCAAGAAGGGCGTGGAAATCGATGGCAGCGCGGCATCGACAAGCTGCGTTTGGGGTCACGTCATAAGGCCAGTCGGATTGATCGCCGTGAAGGCCGTGCGGGCCTCGCCCACGGACCACCGATGCGCTCATAGGAGCCCCGCCATGTTCCCGCGCGACCTCATTCAAAAGGCTGCTCTCCCCTCGTCTCTGCTGCTGCTTCCCATCTTCCATCATCATCATCACTGTCTCTCTTCACTGAAAGATACCCCAAAACCTCCTCTAATTTTTACCAACCCATACCACAAACTTCAATCACAATGGCCGACGGAGCTATCACCAAGGCTGGCGTTTTCGCCCTCGTAAGCTACCCCGCCCTCAGCTACAAAGTAGCCGACACCTACCGAACCCCCTTGCTGACCACCACCACCACCAGAACAACACTGCTGCCCCCAAGCAAGACCAGGTCCTCCCTCTCTTCTCCCTGAAGGGTAAGACCGCCATCGTCTCCGGTGCTGGCGCCGGTATCGGTCTGTCCGTTGCCCACGGCTTCGCTGAGGCCGGTGCCAACGTTGCCATCTGGTACAACAGCAACAAGAAGGCCATCGAGCGTGCCGAGGAGATTGAGAAGAAGTATGGCGTCAAGTGTACGTTGCCCCTGCACCCTGTTGTCCCATCTCCTCGCACACCCACTAACACCCGCTGCAGGCAAGGCCTACCAGGTCAACGTTACCGATGAGGCCAACGTCAAGAAGGCCGTCTACGACATCACCAAGGAGTTCAACGGCCGTCTCGACATCTTCGTCGCCAACTCCGGTATCCCCTGGACCCAGGGTGCCATGATCGACGGCGAGGTCTCACACTACCACAAGGTCGTGTCGACCGACCTTGACGGCACCTTCTTCTGCGCTCGCGCCGCCGGCGAGATCTGGAGGAGGCAGTGGGAGAAGGGCACCGACCTCAACGGCAACAAGCTCGAGAACTACAGCTACGGCAGCTTCGTCGCCACGGCCTCCATGTCGGGCCACATTGTCAACATCCCCCAGCTGCAGGCTGCCTACAACGCCGCTAAGGCCGGTGTCATCCACCTGTGCCGCTCCCTCGCCGTCGAGTGGGTCCAGTTCGCCCGCGCCAACTCCGTCTCGCCCGGCTACATGGCCACCGAGATCTCCGACTTCATCCCCCAGGAGACCAAGGACATCTGGAAGAGCAAGATCCCCATGGGCCGTGAGGGTGAGGCCTACGAGCTCAAGGGTGCCTTCCTGTACCTTGCCTCGGACGCCTCTTCCTACACCACCGGTGCCGACATCATCGTCGACGGTGGCTACTGCCTGCCTTAAGGCACCCGCACTCGCCGCAGTGTGTTGATTTTTGAAAAGCGTAATTTTGGATAAAAAGTCTTTTGATCAAGGCTTGAACTAGATGGCTCAGCTTTAGTCCGGCGAGTCAATGATAGATACGAATTGAATGAAAAAACGGATCTTGAAATCCTTCTCAAAAAAAACAATTATTTTCATGTCACCAAACACGAACGTGAAAGGGCTATGCATGGCATGTGAACACAACACGAAAAAGAAAAAAGAAAAGCAAAAAAAAAAAAAAAAAAAAAAAAAAAGTAAGCGCGAAGAACGCCGCATCAAGCCACCAAATCCAGCAATAGCAGCCGCAGCGCCGTGACATGACGAATCTGACAACGGCCACGGGGCTTGGCGACAGGGCAATAATCCCCTCACGCTCTCCCCATCATCACACCCCTCCCCCTCATCTCCACTGCACCGCGCACGCCTCCAGAATCCCACCCCACCCCACCCCGTATCGCCTCACGCACGCCTCACGCCTTAACGCACTGGTTGTATTGTACACGCTACGACAAGGGCCCACGCCCACGCTCGACAACTGCAACGCTATTGTACAATATGAGCCACGCTCGGTAGGGGTGGGCAGAGGCTGGCGTGATTGTGATGGTGAGGGATCGCTGCGCTGCGCGCTTGCTGCAGGGAGATGCACCCACCACTGTGCTTGCTTGCCGGGGGTGCCGGTGCCGGGGTTGGGGCTGGGGCTGCGGCTGCGACCGGGGTGGGTGTACCTATACCCTGCTCTACCACTGCAGTCTGGGTTGCTGGGAGTTACCCCACCTATTGGTGCTGTTGTTGTTGTGCGTGTCTGGACGGTGGGTTGGTACGTGGAGCTGTGTGTGGTTGCGGCGCTTTGGCTGGGCTTGGGGCTGTGGTGTGCTGGTGTTGTGATAGGTAGTCAAGGTAAGGTAGGTAGGGTAGGTAGGGTAGGTAAGGCAGGGCGCGACGCGAGCGAGCGAATGCGTGTGCGTGTTCGTGTTCTTACATACCTAGGTACATACCTACTCCTAGGGAAGACAGAGAGAGGATGTGTGTGTGTGTGTGTGTGTGTGTGTGTGTGTCTGTGTCTGTCTACGGATTACAGGTGACAGGCAGTGAGCGCACGCACGAGGTTCGGGGTCGGGACAAAAGGCAGCGAGCGCGGTGAGCGAGTGAGTGAGTAAGCTTCTCGTATGTACGTCCATCCATCCAGCTTACACCCATCCAGCTTACATACATACATACAACCACGCTACACCTACATAGGTACACACACACACACAAGCCACTAAGCAGCCGTCCGCCCGTCCGTCCGTAATCCATAGGGCAGGTACCTACCACTCTACCTATGCACACACGCAACAACCACGAGCGCTCCGTCAGCAGCAGCAACGCCGTCAGCTGTCAGCGGGCGGTCAGCCGTCAGCAGCGCGCGAGCAAGGCAGAGCAAGGCAGAGCAAGGCAGAGCAGAACAAGGCAGGGCAGCGACGCGAGACGCGAGACGCGTTACCTAGTTACTGGCGGGCCGAGCGCGCCAACGCAACGCATGGTGAGCGCGTGCATGTGCATACACATACACACACACACACACACACACACACACACACACACACACATACACACCCACACATGCACATGTAGGAGCATGTACGTAGCCTAGCGAGCCTATATAGCTACGCGCAGCAGCAGCAGCAGCGAGTGAGCGCGCCGCGCGCGCAAACGTGAGGCAGCAGGTGTTTGTTCGCTCACTCGCGGCGTCGAGGCCCGGGCTGCCGAGCGCTTCTGGCTGAGGTACCTTAGCTATGTATGAGGGGGTTTTGGTGGGTTGGTGGTGGTTTGTTTGGTCGGCGACGGCGCCAGCGAACGCCTGGTGTGTTGTGTTGTGTTGTTGAGGTGAGGGTGAGGTGAGGCTTGCCTGCCTGTCTGCCTGCTTGTGGTTTGGCGAGCGGGCTGGCTGGCTGGCTGGCTAGTGGCTACCTCTGCTACCTATGCGCTGTTTGTCGCCGCGTGGTGTGCGTGTGCCGTGTGAGTGGTGCGCGGTAGGTACGGATTAGGTACTTAGCTATGTGGAGAGAGAGCAAAGAAAGCGCGCAGCCGTTACGCGTCGCTACCTACCAGACGGGTAGGTTGGCTGGTTGGTAGATCCACCACTTACCTAGAGTAGAGTACCTTAGCCTGGAGCGGGAGAGAGAGAGAGAGAGAGAGAGAGAGAGAGAGAGAGCAAGAAAGAGGGAGAGGGACCTACCTAGGTAGCGCGGCGTAGCTAGGTAGCTACCTACCTAGGTACCCACACCAGCACCTCCATCTACACCAAAGCAGCCGCGCGCGATAGCGTACAGAGTAGCGTACTCTAGGCGAACGACCCCCCCTCCCCGCAGCCACCTAGCCAGCAGCGACAGCCGAGCCGGCCGCGCAGGCAGGCAGCGGGTAGCTATCAGTCCCACCAGTCCGTCCGCCACAGCCTGCTGGCATTAGGTTAGGTGCTCCCATCACATCACACCTTGCACCTTGCACCCAGCCAGCCAGCTACCCCGCGCTAAGCAAGCAAGCAGGCAGACAGATAACCGACGACCCCACTCTCTCGGTAGGTACTCTAGGTGCGCCGACGTTGCGGCAGCGCTGCACGCCGACCTGATTACTCTAGGTAGGAGAAAGTAAGCAAGTAACTAAGTACCTACCTACAGTGCAGTACGGATTAACTCGCAAGGGCCCCGGAAGGAAGGAAGGGACGAAGCCAGGGCGCCAGGGCGGTGGCGGGGACAGTGGCAAACCCAAGCCGTACTCTAGAGTACCAACTCTGCTCTAGGGCACCCAGGGTACATACTGTATGTACATAGGTCGCGATAAGGTCGCAAGGGCGCCCTCTACTCGATGCAGAATAGAGTACAGTAGAGTACCTAGGCGGCGCGGGCGCCCCCGCCCCGTGACGGCTTGGGCGACGGAGCGGGCCTGTCCCATGGATCATGGATGGACGGCCGGAAGATAGGTAACTACCTTACTGTGGATAGATGGGCGCGTGCTAGGCGGCTTGCGGCGCGGAGCGGCTGAGACAGGCAAGCGTGGCAAGCTCGCTTGCTGCTGGGGTGTGGCTGCATTGCTGCTGCTGCGTTGCTGCGTTGCGCTTGCTGCCTTCCCCGCTGGTGGTCGCCTAGGCGGCGCTTGCAGCTGCTGGCGTGCCGCGGCTGTGACTGGCTGGTTCGGCGTGCTGAGTCTTCTGCGCCCACTGCTTGCGCGGGGAAGCGGCGCGGGGAAGTGCTGGATTCGATGTAGGTATGTGCGGGGTGCTTCAGGAGCGCCGTACGTGAAGATTCGAGGTGGGGGGAGGGGATCTGGCGGCTGACGGATGGGGCGATTTGAGGGGTGGCACCGCGGGCTTGGGAGTTGGTTATTGTATGGTTGTGTTTCTTCCATGGTATACGGTATACATGTCTATGATGATGTTTGAGCTAACAAACACGTACGCGTGCAACGCGTCGACGCGAGCAACAGGTTGCCAGGCGTCGCACGTCGAACCCGCCCTCGCGTCCATTTTTTACGTAGATGGTGCCTCATCGCGCACGACATCATCGACCCCGCGCGTCCATGGTCGTCCAAAGCCATTATTCGCGGCACCTACCCACGCGCCTGCTTATCGACCTACCTGTTCCGGCCATGTTTCTCGCCCAACTTGCCTGCCGCAACTGTCCGCGTGCTCCCCCCCATCTCGCGCGCCATCTCGCGCGCGCCGAACCCCTTCCTACCTGCACACCACCATCCCAAAGCGGGCGCCTCTGCATCCCCGTCACCGCCGGCCACGCCGCAGCGCAAAACCCGCCGCGCCGGCTCCTGCAACCTCAAACACGCGGGCGGGTCCCGAGCGCGAGAATAAAGCGCTGACGGGCGGCGCTGCCCGAGCACGCTAGGGTCGCCGGCGCGTGCGCGCAGCACCAGTGCGCGTATTAATAGCAGCCGCCACGGGCGCACAAAAGCTGTCGTTGCTTTTTGCGACCCGGTACCTGAGCCGTGGGTGTCGCACAGCGCACGCTGAGGGGCCCGGGGGGACGGTAGCTCCGCGCATCGCTGCGCCCTGGCTGCTTGCGAGCCAGAGAAAAGTCGCGGCCGCCAGGAGTCCTCCCGCGGGGACCAAAGCTTGAACACCAGCGTCGGGGCGTGTGCGTGTGTCGTGACCCCGTCGTGGAATTTCAGGGCGCTCCGCTGCTGTAGTAGCACAGCCTCGACTCCAGGTGTGGTCCGAGCGCCGGGCCCGCCGACGGTCCTGCTCAATGGCTTGTGGATATTTGTTGGGGTGGGTGGAAGCCTTTCGTCTCAAGGCGTGCGGCTGTTGTTGGCCAGCCACTTGCGGATCGTGGCGCCTGACGACTGGCTGGGCGGGCGGATAGTTTGGAAGGTAGGGCAATCTTTCTGGGGGATGTGCGTGGCGGGCTGTTGCACCATCGACTCGGAAAGGGCGCTGTGGTACAGATGAGGCCCGAGGATATGGTGGCGGCCGAGGCGATGCGATGGAAGGCTGCGGTTCAACGTCGTCGAGCAGTCTGACAGGATGACAGAATTCCCGAAGGAGTTGCGCGTACCTGGAGCTAGATTAGCAGATGATGACGGCATGCAGTAGTTCGCGCAGCAATGAGTTTCTGTACATGGCGTCATGTACAGAGGGGAGGGACGAAGGGAAAAAAGAGGAAAAAAGAGGAAAAAAGAAAAAAAAAGCTGCAAGGCTGCAAGATTTCGATAAAGAGATCGGGAGGGTGGGGTAGGGGGGATCCTTGCACGAGTCGTCGGGACGAGTGGGCAGTGGAGGAGGATCACGATGCGACGGGAGGCCGTGGGGGCCTTGGTGTTTGGAAGTTGAGACGGGATCGTTGCGGCTCCACTGCAGGCAGGCTGGATTTTCACAGTTCAAGGTGGGCGGCGCGGGGACGCATGTTCGGGGTTAGGGCAGCGGGATTTGTTGTCGAGTGGCATGCAACGCTGCACATTGCCAATCACGAGGGCACAAAGACAAACACTCGACGCTTTGGGCAGTACGCGCGAAGGCACAAACGTCAATGGCTGCGGACCAACGAACAGGTTTTCGGCGTGGCCGCCGCTGCCAACAGCCAACTTGTACCAACAACATGAGAAGAGACACATAGCTGTTTGCGTCGTCACTATTGTGGAACCGGCGTAGTTTCAGAGCCTTGACCTTTGACGACGACGACGAGAGGATGTGGATGGGTGAAGACACCGTTTTCTCGCGCGTTCCGTGGGCTGCACGGCCGCGCGACGCTTACTCGCTGCAGCAAGCGCGAAGGCGGCTTATGACAAGACTTTCTCTTTCTTTCAGCCCGCTCCTCCCGATGCCACCTCTGATCGATCCCACATGGTACCACCGCCGCCGTAGTGCTACTTTACCCACTTGACCCTACATATACGCGCCCGCCAGCCCACCGCCGCCCTCCTGATCCTTTCACAAAACCCACGCACGTCCCGATCGCTTCCCTAATTTTACCGTGAAGGCCGCTCCCGCCTCAGCCTCACAATCTCCCGAACCGGACCGTCCGCTGACCCTATCACCCAAACGCCCTAGCCCGTCCCATCCTCGCCGTGATACTAAGGCGCGCGCGACCGACCAAATCTCTGTTGCTCACATCACTGCTCGCCCCTCCTAAAAAAAAAATCACCACCACTTACACGCCTCAATCATGTCCGCCATGGTGGACTCCTACGCTCCCTACGGACGCCTGCCGCACAGGAAACCCCTCCCTCACACTGGCGGCGGCGGCGTCCTGCAGCCCTTGACTCAGATCGTCCCGGACGAGCAGCGCATCCACTCTCGCTCTCGCACCTCGTCCTCCTCCGCCTTCCCGGTTGCCTCGCCGCAATCCAACACCTTTACCTACACCACCCAACCCTACTCGCCCGCCATGACCCCGTACAACCAGACCACGACCCGCCGCACCCTCTCCAATGCTACCACCTCGACCTCGTCTACCAGCACCAGCGCCGGAGCTGGCACTAGCGCGCGCCGAAACTCCGACCTGCGACGCTCCTCGTCTGGCCGCTCCAGCAACGCCCCTTCCAGCTACGTCGCCCTCATGAGGCGCCAGAAGGCCACCGTGTGGTGCGATCGTGCCCAGTATGAGGATCCTCGCCTGCTCGCCCAGCAGCGTGCCGCCAAGATGAGGGCAGCCATGGAGGTCGTCGGTGGCGTGCAGGCCAGCAGGACCTCCACCTCGTCCTCGGGCGTGGCGGCCGGAGTTCGCTCCAAGATAAGACACCACGGCGCTCCCAAGGCCTCTCTCTACACCCCCGCGAACCTGACGGGCAGCGGCGTGCCCATGCGTCTGAGCGCAAGCGAAGTGGACGAAGGCGACAGCGACAACGACAGCGGACTGAACAACTTCAATCATCACAGAAGCGGTAGCGGGCGCAGCTCCATGAACTCGGGAAGGAGGGTTCACTCGTACATTGCGCCGCAGGGCGCGCGATTCAGCATTAGCGGAACGCCACCCAGCGGACAGGGCAACAGCCCAACGGATCACATGGAGGAGACGCCCGTGCCGGGCGATTACGCCGTGCGCAAGCCCAGCATGAGCAGCGACTACTTCCCCCGGCATCGAGGCACCGGGCTCTCCAGCCACAGCACCAGCTCTGGCGAGAGGGAAAACAGCTTCGGGAACATTGGCCAGATGCCACAAGTCGAATACCGCCAATACGAAGAAAAGCACACTGCAGACGAACTGAGGAGGAGAGGAAGCGTGGATGACCGCACCATGACCATGAGCGGTGCCGTGCGACTATTCGTCGCCAATCCAGACATGGACAACTAAGCGGTGAAGCCGCACACCGATGCTTCTACGCCTGAAGCACTCTACACACAAAACAGGGATGAGAGCAACGAGGACTTTTTTCTTATCGGGACCAGCGATGCGGCCCGCTACATCGAATACCACGTCGGAAGTACGACATTTTCTTGCCGAGACCGCGACATTCACGCGGCAATTTTCAATCGTTTGAACAGCATTTTTCTTTCCTGCACGGCGTTTACACCGGCCGGTTGGGTAACAAAGGGGACCTTTTTTTCCAACAGCGTTTTCATCTAGGGCGATTTTGGTGCCCTTTGTCTGGCCTACATCATTTTCTTGTCGTTTTTTCACTAGCGTCTAGCGATTTCCAGCCTTCCGGTCCTTTTTCTTTATAGTCATGTTCTTTCAGCGCCAAAAGAGAGGAGCCACACATCTGACTGGATCAGACGGCCCAGTGTATGCTTGACCTTAGTTTTGTTTTCCTTGCCGCCATCTCGTTGCCACGGGTCGAGTCAGCGATGGCTTTGTCGCCAGTTGTACATGTGGACGCTGAACTTGATACACACACACACTCAAACACTACACACGGAGACGTAGAATAATCAAAGAGCAATCAATCGCTTTCATGATGAACGCGACGGTCATTATTCGCCCCCCCGCAAAAGAGGGAGAAAATCTTGACACCTCTCCGCCACCGTCGTCAAGCCCCGCGCCAGAGCAATCCCCGAGTACGGCGGCGCTCGTACGATGATGGAGATGGCGAAATCAACGCCCCTTCGCGGCGACGCTCAGGGCAGCGAGGGGAACAGCCGTCGAGAGGCGCAGCCACGGCATGGGCGCACGGGCCGGCGTCTGCATAACTTCCCCACCCCCCCATCCATCCGTGTTCCGGCGACGGGTGTGCTCGGCCAAGGGCGATCCTCGCGTCGCCTGAGAGAGTCGGAGGGAAAGCGAGGGAGAGGGGAGAGAGCGGTGGTCGCGCGGACGGGCGTGATTGGGCAGGCGGAGCATCTTCGGGCAAAGGCCAGCATGGGCGCCTCCTGCTGGCTCCAGCACACCTGACACTGCCGACGACCGAGGGCGATTTGGGGTGTGGAAATGCGTTGTTGCGGGTGCCGAAAAGCTTGGGCGCGCGTGTTGCATCACGGATCGGCGCAATGCATGACGTTTGGCCTCATCTCCCGTCGGCAAGCTCAGGGTCGGCGGGCTGGCTTTTGGCGCCGCTCGTATCCAACCCGGAGCTCCGATGATGGGTGGATGGGCTGACGCGGGTTTCCCCTGCCAAGCCCCGCGGGGAACTTCCATGGGAGGTTTCGAATGTTGCTGTTTTTGGCTCCGCGACACACTGACGCAAGAGCAACGCACACACGATATGTCGGCCGAGAAGACGGACTACTCCAGGTGGCGCCTGCTGGACCAGCGCGGCCGCCAGACCTGGCACTACCTCGACTCCGACAACGACGTTGCCAAATGGCCGCAGTCGCTCGCCGACAAGTACCACCTCGGCCTGCCTACCGTCTGTTGCTGCCTCTCCGCGTCACTTATGACTATCACTAACCCTCCGTCCGCAGGACTTGCCCGAGCTGCCGCCCGCAAAGACTCCCATCCAATCGATCCAAAACTGCCTTGAATTCTTCTCCCAGCTCCAGCTCCCCTCCGGCCAGTGGGCATGCGAGTATGGCGGCCCCATGTTCCTCCTGCCAGGCTTGATCATCACCTGGTATGTCACCGAAACACCTATCCCGGAGGCCTACCGGACGGAAATTAAAAACTACCTCTTTGCGCGACAACATCCGGTGGACGGAGGATGGGGGCTGCACATTGAAGGCGAGACGTCCGTTTTCGGCACGGCCATGAACTACACGTCTCTGCGCCTGCTTGGCGCGAGCGCCGAAGATCCTCGCATGATCAAAGCAAGAGGCACGCTGCACAAGATGGGCGGCGCCGTCAACGGGCCGCACTGGGCCAAGTTTTGGCTCAGCGTGCTGGGCGTCATGAGCTGGGACATTGTCAATCCCGTTCCTCCTGAGCTTTGGCTGCTCCCGGACTGGGTGCCCATTGCGCCCTGGCGCTGGTGGCTTCACATGCGCCAAGTCTACCTCCCCATGGGGTTCATCTGGTCGAAGCGTTGGAGCTACAAGTTGACCCCGCTGACCGAGGAGTTGCGCCAAGAGCTGTTCACCCAGCCTTACGCAAGTATCAATTGGATTGCTCACCGGAACAGCATCTCGCCACGGGACAACTACCACCCGAAGACCTGGGTCCTGAACACGGCAAACTGGTTCCTGGTGAACGTGTGGAATCCATACCTGCGAACAAACTTTATTGTCAAGCGCGCTGAAGACTGGACGTGGCACCTTATCCAGCGTGAAGATGAGAACACCGGTTACGCCGATCTGGCACCCGTCAATGCGCCCATGAACACAATTGCTTGCTACATTAAGGAGGGTCCTGACGCTTACTCTGTTCGGAAGCATCGTGAGAGGTTGCTTGAATACATGTGGGTCAAGAACGAGGGCATGCTCATGAACGGGACCAATGGTGTGCAGGTTTGGGACACGTCTTTCCTCATCCAAGCTGTCGTGTCCGCCGGCTTGGCGCAAGATCCGCGCTGGAAGCCCATGCTGACCAAGGCCTTGGAATTCCTCGAGGACCAACAAATTCGTGAAAACTGCCGTGACCAAGAGTCTTGCTACCGCCACAGACGCAAAGGTGCCTGGGCTTTCAGCACGAAAGAGCAGGGATATACCGTGTCTGACTGCACTGCCGAGGGCGTCAAATCCGTGATGTTTCTGCAAGACATTCCCGACTACCCTAAGCTCGTCTCTGACGAACGCATCAAGGATTCGATTGATCTGCTACTCACCATGCAGAACGCGTCGGGCGGGTGCTCTTCGTACGAGCCCACTCGCGGATCCGAGAAGATGGAGTACCTGAACGCGGCCGAGGTGTTCGGGCGCATCATGGTCGAATACGACTACCCGGAGTGCACGACGGCGGTAGTGACGGCGCTGTGCACGTTCCGCGCGCGGTACCCAGACTACCGCAGCGAGGACATCGAGGCGTTTATCCAGCGGGCGCTGGCGTACATACGGCGGGCACAGCGGCCCGACGGCTCCTGGTACGGCAGCTGGGGGATCTGCTTTACGTACGCGGGCATGTTCGCGCTGGAGTCGCTGCGGATGGTGGGCGAGACGCACGCGACGTCGGAGCGGGTGCGGCGCGCGTGCCGCTTCTTCATCGAGCGCCAGATGGAGGACGGCGGGTGGGGCGAGAGCTACAAGAGCTGCGAGGACCAGGCGTGGCGCCCGCACGAGCGCAGCCAGGTCGTCCAGACCGCTTGGGTCTGCATCGCCCTGCTTGAGGCTGACTACCCGGACAAGGAACCGATCCGCCGCGCGCTGCGCCTTATCATGAGCAGACAGCAGCCGGACGGCCAGTGGCTGCAGGAGGCTATCGAGGGCGTCTTCAACAATAGCTGGTAAGTGCGAGCTCGTGCGTGCGTGCGTGCGTGCGTGTATGCGTGCATGTATGCATGCGTGCTTTCCGCGTGGCTGGCTGGCTGGCTGGATTGGCTGGACACCAAGCCGGGTGCGCGCGCATGCGTGCGCACATCTTCGTACGGATTGCTTTGCCAGAGCAGCGAGCGCTAACCCCTTCGCAGCATGATCTCGTACCCGAACTACAAGTTCGTCTTCCCGATGAAGGCGCTGGGCATGTACGCGCAGAAATACGGCGACGAGGCGCTGCTCTAAGGGCGCGCGCGCATCCTCAAGGCCCGCGCACGCTTGCTGGATAGGTGTACGGATACAGGCCTCTTCCATGTATGTAGGTAGGTGCGCGTGCATGCAAGCACCCACCCGACGACCTACTTACCTACCTAGTACGTACCGACAAGCCGCTCGGCCCGGCCGCCCTCCCGATACCTTTTACCTACGTACGGCTCCGTTGATGGAAGGTAGTCCGGTCCGCGCTGCTTCTTCAGTTTCTTCTTCAGCTTCTTCTTCTGCGCCGCCCTCCCTACATACCTACTCCTAGATCCTACTAGGTACCTTGCCTTCCTTTACAGCCCAAGTAGGTCCTAGCTTGATACCTACCTATCTATTCTTGTAATTACTACACTACAGTCTCCGGAACTCAAATGCACTCATCTCCGCTCTCCACGGTGAGCTAGCTACTGTAGCTCTGTCTGCTCTGTCTGTCTGTCTGTGACGGCGACCGCTTATGGGTTTTTGTGTGTGTGTGTGTGTGTGTGTGTGTGTGTGTGTGTGTGTGTGTGTGTGTGTGTTAGTGTCTGTTTGTCTGTTATTGGTTGTTGGCTGTGATACGAAGGGGTACGAGTGTAGGTACGAGTACGAAAGGGGTGGTGGTAGCAGTGGGTGGCAATTGTGTGCCAGCAAAGACAGAAAGAAGGCCCCAGCATCTTCCCTGTCACTATAATTAATCTATTTTACTTTTTTTACTTTTTCACTTCCCTCATTCCTTCCGTCGTTTGCCCCCAGCTCCTAAACTAGGCAGGCAACGGGCAGTAGGTAGGTAGGGTTGCCAATGCTAGTTAGTGCCAGTGCCACGGCTGCCTAGTGCCTGTCTGCCTGCCTATCCACTTTTTTAGTTTTTAATTTTTGCCCTTCCTTCGCCTTCGCTTCCGCTCCCGCTCTCGCTTCCGCAACCCGCTGTCCGCACGCCGTGCGCTAGCTAGATAGTGGGATCTACGTCTAGCTAGGCAGGGCCGTCCGTCTTTCCTATTGTACCCTTGACCCTGTCCTTGTAGGTTGTGGCTATCTGTGCTCTCTGTGCACCCGGTCCTGACCGAGCCTGTGCCCGCCTGGCTGTGCTGTGCTGGGGCAGGATAGGGCTAGGCTGGGCTGAGCTGCAATTGCAAAAAAAGCTTAGCTAGGTAGGGTAGTTATGCAACAGCAACTTCGGCGCGCCCGACCGACCGGGCTGATCGGGCGGAGACGGGTACGGTAGGCGCGGTAGGTACGGTAGGTATGGTGGTCACGGTAGGCGCGGTAGGTGGTGGGTTATACCACGTAGCCGTATAGCCGTATGGCCGCAATGGCGGGGACTGTGCTTTACGGTTGCTATCTAGAGGTACGGCGTACGGAGGTCGGGTTGGCTGCGGCGAAGGCTTCACCGGCTGGCTGGACAGCGCAGCGCAACGCGTCTGGCGCTCGCTACGGAGTACCTCGGTGGCGGTGGAGGGACCCCGGCCTGCCTGCTGCCTCCGGAGCGCGCGATGGTCGCGGTTGACGGTTGGGACGCGAGACGGGGGCGGTTTGGCTTTGGCGTTGGCTTTGGGTTTGGGGTGCGTTTTTGGGTGGGGCTGGGCGCGAGCTTGGAGCTGCAGCTTACAGCCTACCTATTGTACTGGCCCGCTGGAGCTGGGCCTTTTTTGGGCTTGGGTTTTGGGTTTCTTGCCTTATGGGGCGGGATGTGCTTGGGTGTAGGTGCGAGGTGCATGAGCAGGGAGCAGGGTGTTGGGCACTGCTACCGCTGTTGCTAACTTACTGTTGGTGTCAACTCGGCTCGACCTCGTCGTCGTCGTGCGGTTAAGGATAAGCTTGGGCTTAAGCTTGGGCGGTTAGGCCCGCTGGTTGGGCTTGGGCTGGCCGCTGGGCTGGCTCAGGCTGGCTGTGGAGTGGGATGGCAGTGGGCCGTGGCCGTGGCGTGGCGAGCTGAAGCTTCAGCTTGCTTGATGCTTGCTTGCTTAAAGTGGGAGGAGCTTAGGGGCAGCGAGCAGCGAGCAGCGTGCAGCGTGCAGCGCTTGGCGCGCCTATTGGACGAGCGGTGGTAGTGGTGGTTTGCGGGTTGCGGGTTGCGGACTGGACTGTGCGTTTTTTTTTTTTCTTGCACCTGCCACCTGCACACATGGACGGCAAACGGGTCGATCGATCGCGGTACTTAGGTGGGGGTTTGGGGGCGATGCCGACGGGTGTGCAGGTGTGGCGTGAGTGTGCAATACTTGCATACTTCCATGCATACTCTGTACTTTAGGTAGTAACTAGGTGGATGAGGGTTGTATTGTACCGGCCGTGACCGTGGGGAGCTGAGGCACCTCGTGGCAGTGGCAAGTGGCATCGGGGCCATTGACCATTGACCACTGTACATACGAGAGCCCCCCGGACCCGCGCCCGATTGGTCGCCGCGCTTTGGTGTTTGTTTATCCATCCCCCGGGGCCCGGCCAGCTCAAAGCTTTAGCTAGCGAGCTAGGTAGGTATAGGCCCGAGGGACCGAGGCCGAGCCCTATGGGGCTATCTCTCCTCTCCGCCCTTGGCCCCGGGCCTGGCTGGCTCGCTCAGCTGAAGCTGAAGCTAAAGCTGAAGCGCTCTCTCTCCCTCTCTGGACTCGCTCTTGAAAGAGGGCTACACTTCTAGCGCCGGGCGGTAAGAGGGAGTTGGTTGGCTGTTGGCCGTTGGCTGTTGGCTGTTGCGGCCGCGTTGGGACATCTACCTGGGCGTGCTACCTACTGCACCTAGGCACGTGGTAAGGTAGGGAGCCTCACTGCTCTGCGCTGCCGTGCTGCCCCGCAGGCCTGAGGTGCTGCACAACACAGCACCAACAGCACGCGCCGGCGCCTCCTCGGCTTGCGCTCTCGGCCAACCATTGAACCAACCAACCAACCACGAACACCTCTCAGCCTAGCCTCTAGCCAGCCAGCTAGCTAGGTACAGATAGGTAGGTGGACACTTGCCTTCTTCGTACTTCGTACATCCATTGTACTTTGCACGACCTCAGCGCGCGCCTATCGCACCACGTCGTCGTCGTCGTTGCCGTTCTTCATCTTCAGCCTGAGTGAGACACGACACGTCGGCCGCCAGCTAGGGCCAGCGCGTCGCGCGTGCGTGCGTGTCGTGCCTGCATGTGTGTGTGTATGTGTGTGAGTGGGTGGTCTCGACCTCGACCGGGTCCGCAGCTCTGGGCCGGGATGCGCGGCACGGCGGGTACCTGCCTGTGTGCGCGGAGAAGCGGGAGAAGCGGGAGAAACGGGTGGTTGGTCCTGGGATGGAGATGCTTCTCCGTGCCTATCACGCATGTGGTGGGTAGGTGGGTGGGTTGATGTGATGGTTGATGCAGGAGGAGGAGGGTCGAGACTGCTTACGGGTGTGGGGACGGGCGGATGCTGTGGTGGCGTGGTGTGGTGTGGTGTGGGGGTGGGTGCGGGGTGTCTTTTCTGCTGCTGCATAGGCGGGTATACAATAGGTAGGTTATGCTTTTTGTTTTTTGGTCTGGTTCGGAACCGGAATCGGGTTTGTCGTGAGTGTTTTGGTGGGTGTTTTGGTGGGGTTGGAGTTGAGGACTCTCTCAAAATACCCCTCCCTACATAGAGCTACTACCTAGGTAGGTATTCATAGCCAACCACGACCCCAGCGTCCTCAACGAATACCTCAGTACCGCGGCTACAGTAACAACGCGACGCTTAACTTCATACCCTCTATCTTCCTACCAAAAATAAACAGCGGCCTAAACCCTCCATCTCCCCACTATACACTCATAACCATCTCTATCCCGCACTAAAAAGGTCACAGAAAGCTAGCCTATGCTATCCTCTCAGGATAGTATGCTCAGTGCATGCAATAACCCTGTTGACATTGAAATACATAAGAGTGTATATAGTACGTACAGAACGTCAGTGTTAGTGCTGTCTTGTTGGAAATGCTTTGCTTGCACGTATGTATATATACTTGCATGCACCGCACCGCACCCAGCCAGCCATAGACTCGCACGATAGCCATAGATGCGCGAACTGTACGTATACGCACGAGCTAAGCCACAGACATGCATGCACAATTCATGCGTGTTAGCTAGGAAGCAGTGTGCAATGCCAATGCGCCCCATATGAGCTGGCTGTCTGGTTGGGCGCGAGGGTATCGTGTCTATCGTGGCCTATCCTATCCTATCCTATCCTATCCTGCTTTTCCTTATCCTATGCGTCGTAGAAGAAGAAGTCGTTGTTTTGGGTCCTGTTTTGTCCTGTCCTGTCCTATGCCTTTTTCCGTTTCCTTTTTCGAGATTTCCTGCCTTGCTGGTAGCCAATTGCTTTTTAGGCTTCTTCCGATTCTGAATACGATGCTGGTTTGTGACCCTTTCCAGCGAACCGTGATCGCGATGCGGAGCAGCAACTCTCCGCCTATTCCGTCCTCCTCCACTTCGTCTCTTCACTCTCACCCCCCTGCGCATCCTCCCCACGCTCCTCAGCGGCATCGTCCTCCTCTCTCGCGCGCACCGTACCAGCACCCGCTCCCAACGCGCCAAAATCCCCAGTAAAGTTCCCATTCTCATCAGTAAACTGGTCCACATTCTCGGCCGTGATCCAGCCGCCCGCACCGGGCATGGGCGCAGCGAAAGGATCGGTGTCCTCGTCCTCGTCCTCAGAGTCCACGGGGTCGGGATTGAGGTCCGCGCACGCAGACACAGCCGTGAAGAGCGCCTGCGCCGGCGGCGTCGGCGACAGGATGTCCGATGTGGCGGGCACAGTCGTGGTGGTGGGCTGCGCGGCCGCGGGCACGAGCGTCAGCTCCAGCGAGGCAAAGTCTTCTTCCGCGTTGCTGTACGTCGTGTCCCCCGTCAGCAGCTGCATGTACAGGCCTTGGACCGGGGTGTCTGCGGCCGGCGGCGTGAGGCGCTGCAGTGCGTGCAGCGAGATGGCGGGGTAGGGGATCGCGACGCCGGAGGCCTTGGCTGCCGAGAAGAGGATCAGGCGTCTGTGGTGCGGGTGTGGTTAGACGAGTGGTCGCGTCGCGGTGCTTGGCTGTGCGGCTGTGGGCTTACTGCGAGGTCACCCAGACGTCGATGCCGGGGATTGCGAGCTGCTCATCTGCGGCGTCGCCATTGGCTTGCGCGCCGTTGGTCGGGATCGTCGCGCGCAGATCTGGAAAGGCGGACTGCGCTTCGAGGTCGCGCGCTGAGACTAGCAGTTGCGCGTTCGTGCTGTGCAGGTGGAGGACGGGCTTCCCGCCGAAGAAGGTGCCGGGGGTTTGGCTTTGGTGCTCTTCGAGCGGGGTGAAGGCAGAGGCATCCGGGGCAGAATTGAGGATCTCGAGCGTCATGATGGATGCGTCGGTGGAGGTATGTTTTGTGTAAGAGGATGTTGGAGGTTGTTTTGGCGAGAGCTCCGCGAAGCTAAAACGTCAGAGCTGATGAGAGTCGTGCGCGCAGACAGATGCCCCGCTCATGACTCATGCACTGGATGCGATTTGGTCGGTTTGAATTGAATTTGTTTTTCAGAGCAAGATTTGGCATCTTGACTGCGAAAAGAATACTTCTACTGGTAACGCCTGACCTGTTTCCATCCACCGTTACACGCTTGCGGCCACCGGCAAAAGCGACCACCAGCGCGGCGAGCACGATTGACAATCTCGATTCCCCGCAATCGGCGCCAGTCAGCGCCATTGCTGACAAACACGATTTCGCCATGCTTAACTCCGTCATCGACTACTCAAGGGCCTGTAGCCGCTCCTGTCACTCCCTCACCACCTTTTTCCGCGGCGTCCGACCCCCTGATCCGCTGTATCTGCGCATAGACGCCTCGCTGTATGCCATAACCGACCTCCTGTTCGACCGCTCAACGCCTTGCGACCATGTCTGATAAGAAAACGCCAATTCCCGAAGTCCCCGAGGCTGCGCACTCCAATTTGGACTCAATGTTGTCGCGAAAGTTTGGCAAAGAGGTCGCCAACTACTTTGCTGGCTAGTCGTCCTGCAGCTGTCCCTGCGCGACCACCGCGGCGCATGCTGACTTTCTGCCAGGGTCGCCGTTGAACCGCGTCTCTTTCCTGCGGCCAGACACGTCCTTCCTCTCCCAGGCGCTGAGGCATGACACCTCCAAGTTCATCCTCTTCAACGAGCTGAACCCGCTGGTCAAGGCCCCCACAGAGCTCGCATATGTCAGCTACAAGGACGTCCAGCCCGTGGTTGGCAACCCGTATCAGAAGCCCGAAGCCGAAATCATAGACGACTACAACTCGGCCACCTACCACCCGCAGCTCGTCTTCCTCGGGCTGAACCAGACAAACGGCCCCGCAGCCGCCGACTTCAAATACAAGGAACACTACCATGGCCAGCCCTTCTGGGCTCTGGACGTCACTCCCAAAGAGAGCGTGACGACAGCATGCAAGAAGCTGATCGCCGATGTCGAAGGCAAAGGGCTCTACTTCGCGCAAGGTCGGATGCAACTCTCCCTGCACGCCACAGAAGGTACGTGAATAACCGCCCCGCCAGTCCCCACGATTTACGCCTCACGCCTCCCCTCCCCCACAGCCGCCATGTACGCCGAAGGACGACACCTACTAGACTGGAATGCGCGCAACCCGTTCTGCGGCGCCTGCGGCCACAAGACGCTCTCGATCAATGGGGGCTTCAAGCGGACCTGCCCGCCCAAAGACCTCGCGGCACGGATGCACGACCCCGGCGCGCCAGCAACACAGCGGCCGGACTGCGCGACGCGCACCGGCGTCTCGAACCTCTGCTTCCCGCGCACCGACCCCACCGTCATCATGGCCGTCGTGTCGGCGGACGGGACCCGCGTCCTGCTGGGCCGCCAGCGCCGCTGGCCCAAGTACTGGTACAGCACGCTGGCAGGGTTCCTGGAGCCGGCCGAGAGCGTCGAGGAGGCCGTCCGTCGCGAGGTCTGGGAGGAGAGCGGCATTCACCTCGGCCGCGTAGTGATCCACTCGACGCAGCCGTGGCCGTATCCCGCGAACTTAATGATTGGCGCTATTGGGCAGGCGACGCCGGACGGTGAGGCGATCCATCTGGGCCATGATGCGGAGTTGGAGGATGCGAAGTGGTTCGAGCTGGACGAGATTAGGGAGGCGTTGCGCATTGGGACAAGTGGGTTGGGCGAGGACCCTGGGCCGGAGTACCAGGAGGGTGGGTTGAGGTTGCCTCCGAGGACCGCGATTGCGAATCAGCTTATGCGTGCTGTGGTCGAGGGGTTTGTGGGTGCTGAGGCGAAGATATAGCTGCGTTGGGGTTGCTTAGATGCAGCTGCTCCTTGCGCTGACGAGCGGTTAAATAGAAGTGTTGCCTAGCAAGGTAGTAGGTAAGTAAGCGTATAGCACGCAGTCTCTAAATAGAAAGAAAGATGTAAACAACTGTCTCAGAACAAAATACACAAATAAACTCAAAGGAAGAGTCCGGTTTAGTTCAGTTCCGATCATGCATACTTGTGGGGGTCAGGGAGCTACATTATAGAATGCTGTAGATACTACGAGTTTGTTCGCATCGGCTCCTCGTAGATGTAGTTTTCTTGGGCAATGTCTGTTGTAAAAGTGAGGATATAGGGAGAAGAAATCCATTGCTCGCTAGGAGTTGATAGTCTATAAAGGTCCTGATTGGTCGATTGCAATCCTCGTTGACTGCGCACGTGATCGACGAATTGGGCAACTATTGCACGTGAGGACGTGATTACCTCGCGCTGTGGGCAGGTGCCGCGGTCAGATCCTGCCCACAACGTACAGCCAACAGCTGAGGCCGCAACTGCCAACATGGGACTGGGAGCTTACCCATGAATCTACATGTCCACTGTACTAAGCCTCTTCCCTCTCACTAGGTCTTACGTTTGACAATCAAACCGTCGGCCCGTGACGCCGCGACGTCTTAAAATACCCAACGACAGCGCGAAGTGAAACAGCAGAGAAAAACAATCGACAAACCCGAACACAAAGATGCCGACGCACCAACACGTCGCCCAATGCCCTCAACTTCCTCTCGAGCTATGGACCCACGTTCTATCGTTCATCACTGATAGTGAACATATTCCCAAGCTCTGGGTTTCAGGCAGGCGCGTATCTCGTCTATTTCGCGTGGCCACTGAAGATGCATTCCTCAAGACGCAGCTCAAGGTCAACACACGGATCAAATTCTTTCCACAGCGTACCGAGTTTTGGCAGGATGACAAAGCGTGGTTCTTCAACTTCACCATGTGCTTCGACCGTCTTACGGAAGGCGGATCACGCGCTGTGTTCAAGGACATACGTTCTGAGACATGGCTCCGCGACCATGGATATCCGTTCGACCAGTTCATGGCGAAGTGGAAAAAGGAAATGAACAATTATACTGGCCTCGACGATGACTTACCGCTACTGCCAGAGGAAACACCCTGGATGATTATCAATCGCATACTTGTGCACGACAGTGGCCTTCCGGGTTTACGCGTTGACTACGACAGCCGCGAGATATCTTTCGAGTGGTGCGGCATGTTCGACAAGTTCTACGGCGAGGAACTGTTTGCCCGTCAACAGACTGCGTGTTATGTAAGAAGTATCGGATGACTTTTTTTTTGTTTTTGAAGATAGAGCTAACAGCTTGTTAGGCTCGCTCCCACCACGACGATTTGCAGGAATTATGTGACTTGCATGAATGTGGCGCTTCAGAGATTTACGATGCTACCATAGATGTCTTCGAGCTGTGTCGTGAAGATGCAAAGGACGGCTATGCGACCGCCCGCCGCCAGCGAATCAAGCAATGGCACAAAGAGAATGATAGTGGCGTATTGGCGGCCATCTACTTCAGAACTAGGGCATTTGACGAGTCCAAAAAGCTTGAGGACATGGACCACAGGCGCCAAGTGCTATGGTTGTGGAAAGAATACATTGGATCTGAAGACCCGCCCAGGTACGAGAAAGGATGGTGTTGGAACACCAGCGAAGACGAAGATGCCGATTTCTGGGAACGTGGCGAAGAAGCACAGCCTGATGAACCTGAGGAAGGTTACGTTTCCATCGATGTAGATGACGCAGAGTATTCAGCTATTCAGGAAGCGGCTTTGTTCCTGATCGCCTTGCACAAAGACAACAAAAAGCATGACGAGGGAAATGGAGAAGAGGAAGAAATTGGCTGGCATACTTTTCGGTATGGGTTTACCGATCAATCAATTTACTTTTAGCGAGAACAGCTCTATTGGCTGTTGCTTCATCCTGCTTTATCAAACCGACAGCTCCCTAATATAATAGCCGGACTATATTTCTCCGTGTCACTTTTGTTGTAGGTTTTTGTAGGTTTCATTAACAGGCGATAAAATTAAAGTTGCCTCGTCACTGCGTTATGCTTCAATTGCTGTTTCCGATAGAGTGGTATGCGCACCCTCAGCGGCTACCCGGACCATGACGTATGAATGATACCTCATCCCTGCATGTGATCCGCTCCTTAGCGTGGAACGTTGGCGATGTTATTACGCGCGCTCATGGGCAGGAAGGCGCGTCCTCAAGAAGTTGCACCAATACCTACTCGAACAACAACAATCGATAGGCACAGCAAATAACTTCGCTCGGGTGAATCCGACACCACGTCACAAAAGGCTCAATGGCCGACATTGTTGATCTCGGAAGCGATTCGGAAGACACGAAACCGGTGCACGAAGGAACCGGCGCCGGGAAGGAACCGCCTGCACGCGTTGCGCTTGATGAAAATGACACAGGGAGTTCTTGTTCGTCTATTTCCTCTCCTCCGAATGTCAGCGACAATGACGATCGCGACGATTTTGCAGTAGAGCTCTGTTACAAGCTCGACAACATCGAACGCGTAGGAAGCCTCGTGTTTTTCGGAGAACTTGATGGCGTTGATGATCCATAAATTCATGTTGACGGTGTCGGTGATATTGCTCTTTTGCTGAGTGAAGAGAACGCGGAGACATTGACTAAGGTCTGCCACCAAGCACCTTTCGGCAAGGGAGAAGAAACCATTATCGACACGTCGGTAAGAAAAACATGGGAGCTCAACCCGGACAAGTTTCATATGAAGAACCCGAAATGGCAAGAGGTAATGGACACCATCCTGGACCGAATGACTGAAGAGCTTGGTGTGCCAGGAGACCCAAAGAATGTAGAGGCACAGCTCTACAAGATGTTACTTTATGGAGAGGGTGCCATGTTCAAGTCACACCAAGATTCGGAAAAGGAACCGGGAATGTTCGGCACGCTCGTGATATGCCTCTCATCTGACCATGAAGGCGGAGCGGTGGAAGTAAAACATGTCGGAAAAAGACAGCTCTTCGAAACCGAGTATGCTGAGCAGTCGTACATCTGTTGGTACTCTGACGTTAGGCACGAAGTACACAAGGTCACTTCGGGCTATCGCTGGGTCCTTACCTACAACCTAGTTCTTACAAAACCGTCTTCAGTGGCTCATAGAGCGCTCCATGACAATGTCTCGAATCTCCGGAAGACGTTCAGGCGCTGGCAAGACTCTTGGTACGGCTCAATTTATCTGTTGGAGCACGAGTACACCCAGGAGGGGTTGGACTTTGTGAATTGAAGGGGAAAGACTACGAAAGGCTTTCGGCTTTGAAGGAGGTATGTGAGGGTTTTGACATATGCCTCTTTTTGGGGAGCATGGAACGTCAGGTCATCTACGACAAAGAAAATGAGTATTATGAGAACGAAAGGATGAGATTCGTTTGAAGAAGATTATGAAGACGATGAGGATAGCGCTGTCGGCCTTGGAAAAGAACTTCGCACAGAGACCGAACCCGACAATGACTCCGAAGCCGACGTGATTGAGGACTCAATTGTGCTTAGCAACGTACTCGATTTGTCCGGGACAACCGTATATCCACAAATGAATGTCAACAAAAACCGTATCCTACAATACAAACCATTCAGCAGGGACCCGGACGACGAAGAGAACAGCGGGTTTACAGGCAATGAGGGAATTACCGAAACACAGTGGTATCGCGATACGGTAAGTTTGAACTCAGATGCTTAATTATACAAAGCTCACTCTACAGGCGCTTGTGATCGTGCCACGCTCTGAGTTAGCCGAATTTTTCATGGAACCCCTCAAAAGTAATTACAGTTTCGGCTTTCGGAAAGAAGACGAGTTACTTCAATTGATCAGTTATCTGGACAAAAAGCAACAGACCAATCCTTTGGATGCAAGCTGGAAAGACAACCTGTTGACAGCCTGCAAGTACGCCGTCGAGCGCTCTGAGCCAGTCGAGAACCATGGGAGTTATCCACGTCTAAGGCTACTTGATTTTAGGCCTGAGCATGAGTTCGCAATAATCGTACTCCCCAAGGTGATGAAAGTCTGTCTATCGATATACAGCTATGTTCTTTTCGGGAAGGCTGCTTCTCTACGGAGGGCTCTACTGCCGCGCGAAATCATCCATCAATTTTCGTCCTGTCTGTCCCAAAAAGGGTTCAAAGTCGTTCGCGAAGGGTATGAACCTTATTTTTGCATTGTTGTAGCAAAAGCTAATTTATCTAGGTTGGATCATGCCATTTCTCGTGAGACCAAGATATGTCGTCATCATGAATTCCTCCAAGACTTGCTTGATAACCTCAAAGTTGAGAATGATGACGAAAACAAGAGCTTGTCGACTGGGTACGCGAAAAGGCAGTATCAGTGCTGGACAAATGCAGCACGATCCACGTAGAAGATGGCCCTGCCATGGTGGAAATCTTGAAAAAAGCAATAAATTCTCAGGAAACTTGGAACAAGTAAGTACATTCTACGTTACAACCCAGGGTAGATTCTCATTTGCCTGTGAGAATGGTCGGAGACAACAGCTGATCTCGTCGGCTCAGAATTGTGGCGCTTGTGGAAAAGCGTATCTCGAATGGACCTGTCGTTATCGCCTTGTACCCCTTTTTACGGCCGCGGAATCCGATGAGCTCCCGATCCCCGCTGAGAAGACTTTCGCTATCTTTCAAGATTTTCTCAGCAAATTGTTACCGGAACTTAGCTTGGGTCTTAACCCGGAGCAGCAGGAGATCGTACAGAAGAGAGAGCTCAATTACGCGATACCAAAAAACCAGCAAAGAATACCTCCAGTCGAAGGCCAGATTCTTGCTTCTCTCTTTGACAAAATCTTGACACTCCAGCTAACCGCCGAGGCTGAGCGGTTAGTAGAGAGGATCAAATGGCACTGGACAAGCTGGAGCCTCGGGACCTCCCGCCCATGTTCGTACCGTTTCTCCCAGCACTTGTTCCAGTCATGGAAAAACATGGAATTTCGGTCAAGGACAATGCTACATACCAGTCCATGTACCAAACGATAATCAGGTCGATATTAGTACGCTATGTGGACAACGAACCCAAGCGCCCCGACAATTGGGCCCGACCGCCATCTTCCTGCTCCTGCAAAGACTGCAAGATCCATATGAACCACTTCCTTGCAAGCCCACGCGCACAGGTCGGCCATTTCTCCTTCGCCGAGCAACGGCGTAGTCACTTGCGGTACAGTCTAAGGGATATCGAATACAAATTCGAAACTGTGAAATATGGGGTGCCACATACTTTGGTCGTCACAAAAGAGGAAAACATGTGGAGACAGGATCACAAGCCTTGGGAGATGAGAAACAAAGAGTTTGACAAGGCAATGGAGGCTCTGGGTAAGGTGATCTCGCTGGAAGCTGTCTTGGGGGATCAGTTCGAAGCTATCAAAAACAAAGAGGGCGTTGTTCTCCCAGCGGGCGCCAACGATCACTCTCCGCCGTCCGACCCACCCATCATCTACAGCGACAAGGGAACTAAGATGCGCACGATCGAAAACTCACTGGAAAAGCATTATGGGCCAGGTGCCTCCAAGGTGAGGACAAGCAGGGCGCAACCGCCAGCGAAAAGGCAGAAGCAGACAGCCGGTCGGCAATCCTCCGCGCAGGCTAGACCGGCTTATTCTCAAACTAATCCACCAACACTGCCGCCAATACCTCTAATCCGCGAAGCACCGGGTTCGGGCAATGCGAGGAACCCTACGGCGGAGCGTGCGGGTGTTAAGAGGAAGGCGGAGGAGACTGGAACTATTGATCTTACGGATGATTAGGTGTGACATAATAGCTCTACAGAATGGAGTGTAGCTGTCATAGTGGTGGTCACGCTGCAGTGACCTGGAGTTGATGGACTGGGCAGTTGGCGTCTTAGGTGGTTTATAGTTCGTTTGCTTTCTTTTGTAGTGATGTCCGTAACCCTCAAGCGAGATTCATCGCCTAACTAGACAAAGACGCTTGTGCAGAGTGAAAGATAAAATCCAGTCAAGACGTTTGTGCTCTAAGACCTTTCCATTCATATCCAGAATTTAGGCTTACAACTAGACGCAAGGAGCATTCCTTAGGTTGTTCCCTATCTCCTATTGATGATATACCCTAAATATCCGTATCTGTCTTAGTGTAAATTTGTTGTTTCTGTCTTGGAGATTTCCCTCGGGCATTCCTTGCTCGGTAAGGAAGGAGGGGTGTTGCACTAGCGCGCCATTTTCGCGAAACGTGCATCGCGTCCTCAGGCAGAACCCCACTGCACTCAACACCATCATTTGCAGCCACCCTTGTCAAAAAATTGCGGTCTCCATCGTGTCCACCGAATCCTGCACTCAGTTGTGAGAACAATGGTCGATATAGTTGATCTTGGCAGCGACTCAGAGAACGGCTCTCACAGGTCGGAAGGAGCAGAAGTCGCCACCCGTACTGGCACACCTCTGTCTGATGTCAGTGGCATCATTGGCGATGTCAGGGAGGATCTTCTCAATAGCCTTAATGGCATCGAGCATGACGGGACTTTCTTTTCTTATGCCCTACTTGGAGATATGTTCAAGGCCATTGACCCCCTGATCGAAGTCGAAGGCGTAGGACCCATTGCATTGCCATTAGGCGAGGAACAAGCACAGGCAATTGCAAATGCTTCTCATCAAGCATCATTCGGCAAGGGAACAGATACAGTCATAGACGCCAGCATCCGGAACACGTGGGAACTCAATCCTGAACGCTTCAACATCACGAATCCGAAGTGGGAACAGGAGTTCTTACCGCGAGTTTTATCCCATGTCGTGAAGGATTTGGGTATCACGTATGGCCCTCATCATGTCAGTGCACAACTGTACAAAATGTTGCTCTACGAGAAGGGAGCTTTGTTCAAAGAGCATCAGGAGTAAGCTACCCAGAGTTTGCCATTTTGAAATGCTTGGCTCACACTCTGCTCGTAGCACAGAAAAGGTCCCAGGTATGTTTGGAACTCTTGTCATATGCTTACCATCGCCGCATGAAGGAGGCGATGTGGAGATGAGGCATGGTAGTATGAAAAAGAGATTCTCGACTTCGACTGCTGGCCCTTCATTTGTTTGCTGGTAAGTTTACCGATTTTATTTCCTTGAATACATCATGGCATCGATTTTAAAAACATTTTGAGGAAAAACCAAATCAAATGATTGACGGACTGCGATTATGTCCTCTGTTATCTGGTTGATGAACGAAGCGGAACATTGACCGCTGCGTGCATTATAAAGCCATTAGCCCTGCTTGAATCAACGTAGCCATCAAAGCAAACATCCGGACATTACTAACACGTTGAAGGTATTCCGATGTCAAACATGAAATAAAGGAAGTCACTGCCGGTTACCGCTGGGTTCTCACATACAATCTTGTAAAACCCAAAGCTTTCATGCCAGAATCTGCGGCAACAGCTCGAGCAAATTCGCGCGCCCTCCGAGCCACTCTGCGAGAATGGACTAACAATAATGTGCACCGGGGTCCTTCAGTCAACGCCGACTATTACGTATATCTCCTCGACCACCAATACACTGACGAGAATCTCGGTTACCGCGCTCTCAAAGGCCGGGACCAGGCGAAAGCGGGAGCTCTCCAACGAGCCTGCGAAGAACTCGGGTTTCGCTTTTATCTTTCATCAGTGGAACATATGAGATCCGGTGAGGTGGATGAAGTGGATCCCTATGATAGATACGGTTGGGGAAACGAAACAGGCGAAGATGGCGAGGGAGATGAGGAGAGTGGCTTTCATCCAATCGTTGAAGAGTTGGACTCATCCTTGACCCTCAAGCGTGTTATTGACGACACGGGGGCTTTGGTTGCCGAAAATATTGAATTTAGTGATTCCGACAAAGTCATCCAAGACTTTCCGTTTGACGATTACGAGCCCGATGATGAGCAGTACGAGGCGTATATGGGCAACTCAGGGCCTTCTGCTACACAGTTTTACAGACGTACAGTGAGTACCTTGTTACCTCGCAGTTCGACAACAGCAATAACTCAAATCATAGGCTTTTGTCATAATGCCCCGTAAGGAAGTACGAAACTTCCTTTTCTCGCAGTTCAAAAAGTCATATAGTCGCGACTATCACCGACCGAGCGAGAAACCTCGCATAATGAAATCAGTGATCGATCATCTGATACGGCAGTATCAACTCGACAAGTCTGACGTAGAAGCCAAACGGGATCTTGTGTTTTTCTGCCTCCGTGTCCTAGAAGAAGAAACTAAGCCTCAACACAGTATATACGGCCACAGTACACCGCCAGCTGAGGAGTGGACTCTCGCTACAGTCATAAAAGGAAGCTGGAAAGCTCAAAACATCGGCATATTCATCAGAACTTCTGCTCTGATTCGAACCAAATTACCGACCCGCGCCTCATTTTGGCTGGCAAAGTGGATCTGTGAGACAGGGTTTGCTCCTCTTCAGCCCGGGTAATGGCGTCTCACATTTGTTGAAATTCAGACATATGCTGACCATATGTAGGTTGGAACAATGCCTTCCACGGCAACTAGTAATTCATGACTGGTTGGACTTCCTCATTAAGCTCCAAGTGGAGTACCAAATTGAGATACAAAAGTCGAAGAGCTGCGATAAAGTCTTTCTGGACTGGGTCCGGGATAAGTCGTTTTATGCGGTGGAAAGGGCCGCAAAGCTGTATCTTGAGGATGTCCCCGCTCTTCTCGAGATGTTGATACTCGGGACCGGCCTCAATGACACATCGGAGAAGTACTTTCCCAAAGTAAGAAGATATAGGTTGTAGACTGACAATGTCGTAGAGTTATCTCAGTGTTGAAGCGGTTTAAAAACAATACTCCGCCCATGGTTGTCTTCCTCACCCGGCTGTACGAAGCTGCGGAACAGGAAGATCTTCCAAAACAGGCTGCACTCGATTGGTTCAAGGCACTGTTCGCCGAAATCCTTCCTGTATTTTCTTTGAACCACGATCCAGAGGCAGTAAGGACTACCAAGCGTCGCAAAACGGAGACCCTCTCGCGTGTTGCTTCATACAATTCGGAGGTGCCGAAGGAACCGAGACTTCCAGTTATAGACGTACCAATTCTTACAAAGTTCATCGACCAAATCCTGACACTCGAGCTCGACACCAAGCAAGTCATCAGAAGACTTAGAATTGATGTCGAAACTAGGCTTGACACCAGGGACTTCATTCCAACTCTTATGCCTTTTCTGCGTTCGCTGGCACCGGTCCTTGCCAAACATAATATTTCTCCCTCAATGGAGCCTTATAGGGCTTTCTATGGTTCCACTGTCCGAACCCTGGTCAAACGCTACACTGGGCTCCGCCCCAAGAAAGCTGTCAACTGGAAACGGCTTCGATGCGGCTGTGGCTGCAGTGATTGCTTTAAACTCGATAGGTTCCTCACTGACCCCAACGAACGGGTATGCCATTTCCCGGTTTCCAAGCAAAGGCGATACCATCTACATCTCCAGTTGGACGGTGCAGACTGCACCCATTTGACAGACCGTCGGGGCTCACCCCAGACTCTTGTTGTGACAAAAACAGGGAGAAGACACGGCACGGATTTACAGGAATGGAGAAGGTTGATTGTGGAGTTCAATGAGGAATTGCACAAGCTGGCGGAGCTTATCGACATGAAGGAGGTGCTCGGAGAAGAATTTGTGGAGTATTTGATCAAGCCTGCGATAGGTCTACCGGGAAGTGAGAACGACAGCATCCTTTTTCCAGCGGAAGGATCAGCGGCGAGACCGGTACCGACCCAGGTACAAGCGCAAGGACATAACATGGTTCCTCTTCCTGCTCCTAGAGCCCTGGGCGAGCCAACCATTTTGCCACCTCCCTCTACTCTCCCGAGGCCGACATTGACACCTCCACAAGTCCCTGGAGTTTCGCTTCCTGCAATCAAGTCAGAAACAGAAGGGAACTTACTGGCTTCGCTTCCGCCATTTCTAGAGCCACGGGCACACTCGTCTATGGGCCGGCCTTATCCATATCCAAGCTCGCAATCATTGACACCCATCAATGGCAGCTCAAGCACGCAGGCACCGCCTGCGCCGATGTCAGATGTGTCGAGACGCATCTCCCAACAGTTCAGGCGGCCTAGGCCCGGCAGGAACAGTGAGGAGACACGAACGGGCGTCAAACGGAAAGCGGAGGAAGACATCGAAGTCATCGACCTCACTGGTGAATGACGGCGTGGAAGTGTTGAATGTTAGATGCCGATGCAGGTCTGATGCAATTCTTCTGTTTCTATCACCATTTCAGTCCTTGCTCGTACCCAAAAGGGTCAACGACGGCCTGTTTTTTGCTCGACAGTATGCTTTCACTTTGCAAAATGAACGCAACACTTATTCGTGTTTCACTTTGCAAGTGCAACCTTTGCGCACACCGCGCACGTACTGGGCATAAAAATGTGTGGGCGTTCGTTCAGCATCCTTCACCGCACAACCTACCAACGGTTGAGCTGTCTTTAGCTCATCGTCGTCCCTTGGTGTGGCCACGCCCACGAGCCCACAATCCCACAATCCCACAAACACCTCGCGATATTCGTCCACCACACCATCTGCGTATAGCCCTCGCAGGCCAGCAACCAGCAGCATCTCCGAAACCAGAAGAAAGCAATGGCCAACGCGAACAACGGCAACATCCTCATCCGTACGTACGCAGAGACCAGCGCCAACTAACTGTCCTCACCTCGCCTTTCACCTTCTCTCTCTGCTCTTCTCGCTTGCTCGGAGGCAAGCCACCACCCAACCAGAGAGCTGCAGAAGACTGACTCTAGCCTTCTTCCGGCACCGCAGTCCTCCCCATGGCGTCCTCGCCTAACGACCATTGCATGCCAATGAGGCAGCTGTACGTCTTAGTGCGCGACATGGAAGCCCCGAGCGATGACCCCGGCGGCCCGGCTATACACGGCAGGGACGTCCTGGCTTTTGCGGTATGTAAGCAAGCAAGCAGGCAGGCAGGCTGGCTGGCTCTTTCCCCAGACCCCAAACCCCACATCATCATCATCATCATCATCTCCCCACACCTCCACTCCCCACTCACCCGTCCCTAGACCCACACACACAGTCCTCGCGCACATCCATCCCCCCTCCCACCTAACTACAGCAGAACCAAGCACTGACCTTTTTCCTTCCACACCAACAGGACCTCACGCGCACCGTCCTCCGCATCACCTCACACGACCCCGAGCTCTGGACCGTCCACTTCCACTGGTACGCGGCGTGCAGCCGCCGCGTCGGCGCCGACGAATGGGAGTCCCAGCGCTGCGTGTGCCGCGCGGCGCCGTTGGCGGGGCGCGTCGAGAGGGGCTTGCTAATTTATGCGCATTTTGTAAGGATTGAAGATGGTGGTGCTGGTGGTGCTGGTGGGAGGGGAAGGGGTCGTGGGGGCAGGGGCGGGGGCGCGTAGATGGTGCCGCGTGCGTGGATCGGGATGTGGAAACGACGACTGTCGACTACCGCTGCTGCTGCTGCTGCTGCAAGCTCGCGAGACGGGGTTTGAGAGCACATGAAGCGAAAGACGCGGAAAGACGGCACTGGAGCAGAGGGTTCGGCGTTTGCTGGATCGATCTTGATTGCGAGAGGACAGCGACAGCACACGACACCAGA